CCTTTTTGGAACTCAACACCGGCAGCAGCAGCAGCAGCAGCAGCACTACCAACAACAACAAGCAGATTGTCGACGTCCAAAGGCAGGCAGGCAGGCAGGCAGGCAGGCAGGCGCTTGACTTAGTGGGCCGCTTAGAGTGCAGCCTTAAACGAGTTTCGCTGACGGGGCATGACGGAGCATCTGAGGCTGGGGAGCATGAGGAGCACACCATTTGGCCGTCTGAACGTTTGGCTGCACTAAATCACTTAAGATGCTTTTAGCAGCCGGCAATGGAAGCAGAAATGGCAATGGCAGCTTTAAGCCTTGTCGTAGGCAAGTGAGCGGCCATTTTATTTATGCTGCTTGTGCTTGACTGCGTGTAATGGATGATGTTGACCTGGACAGATCCGCTGGTGGGTGGGCTGCCTGTGCCATACTTGGCTATACACACATTAGTATACACGTATGTATACTACATGTCGGTGGAAAATGGAGCAAATGATTAGCTTATGCCATGCAACTGGCCAAATAGATTATGCTTACGTTTCTCTTTCGGATTAGTAGCTGAGGTGGATTTCATTCATGTGCTCTTAATGCCCATCAAATGCTCGACAGTTCTGGGAAAAAACTTTGGCAGAAACAGTTTTCTCTTGCGCTGTCGAAAAAAAGAATTGTAGAAATAGGCGACTGATAAACAAAAGGAAAGTAGCAAACATGGTATTTAAACTTGACAGCCCATGTATTTGTTGCCGACCGTAAAAGCAATTGTCAATAGTTTCGCATAATTTTCTAGCAACTCTTCAACTTTCGAATGTTTTGGAACAAATAAGCCCATATAAATATTGCTATTTTTTCGGAATCTTTTCCGGTATAAAAAGGCCATTAGTTTTCCTATTCTACATACACATTCCAATAAGTATGTCTCGCATGGCATTTCAAGAACTTGTGAAGAGCGAAACACAACTTGTTTTCATGTCTCTTATGTACATATCTCCCCAAAGTTGTAATAAAGTTCCTTGCACCACTTGTTGGCAACTTCAAAAATTGTTCAATAGCACCATTAGGCAACATTTGAATGGCTTTACAGCTCTGCTACACCCTTGAGCCAAAGCCAAGCCAAGCCAAATACCAATACCAACTGGAGACGAAGAAACGGCAATAAGTACGAGTATACACAATATGAGGCACAAAGCCAACGAAGATGGATAAATAAATAACGAAATCGTGCCGCACTTGTTCGCCACTCGCAATAAGCTGCTAATTGAAACCACCTTAAAATTAACAGAGCAGAGCGACGCGAACAATTAGCGGAGCCGAAGGTGGCACTGACGCCACAGCTAGCTGGCTGGCATTTAAAACTGCATACAACATAGAGCGGGATAAATAAATAAAATACATTTAACATTACAGGCAAGCTTCTGCAGAATGACTCCTAGAAGGACACAAATACATCTTGTGATCAAGTTTTGCATAATTCTTAAGAATATTTTAAGATACATCAAAAGGATGTGTCAAATATATTCTTGTTTATTTAATTCTATATGTATAAGAAAGCCGTAAGGAAGCCGTAACGGCTTACTAAATGAAAACAAATTTAATTATAATGATATACTTCCTCTGGTACGGATGCAGATAATTCTTAGACTTCTTCGCGTCAATTACTTTATTATGTTCGCGTAGAAGAGAACAGTGCTTCTATGGCTATTTTCGAAAGTAGAATAGAATAAAAGTAAAGGTAATTGCTCAGGTGCCTGCCCTGATCCAGATGGTCCAGATGCTGCACGTAGCAAGATCTCTTAGCTATCTCGTAGCCTATGATGTACAGTTCTGTTCTATTATGAATATCCGAATGTTAAAAAAATTACTCAAACGGCTAGATCCAATTCAAAATGTTTCCAACACTTTTTTAATATTTCTAACATACATAATTGTAATGCCAGAATAGGATTCATAGACGAATTAGTTGTATTTCAGTATTTTTCAGTAGAATGAAGGATGAAATTAAGCACAAGAGGAATCATATTTTAAAACGGTTATAGCTAAGTGTCACTGTACTTGTTTACTTGTAGATGTGCCTCCCCATTTACTAGCAGTTATTATGTCATAATTAATTTACGAGCTGTGACAATTAACGTTACTCACACACACACACACTTTCACACTGACACAGAAACGTCTGGGTGGGTGGCACACATAAAAAAAACTACAACAAACAAACAGACAACAACAAAAATGTGAAAATATTAACGAGCGTGTGACTGTGACTGTGACAGGCAAGGGCTCTCTGGGTCTCTCCGTCTGTTGATCTATGTGTGGTCATTATTGCCGCAACATGCATAACAGCAACAACAATAATGGCTAGCATTTGGGTCAATGTGTTAGCCCGCGACAACAAAAGATGCTGGACAGACTGGCGGCACACAGTGGTCCCAAATTCGGATCGCGCTGCAGAAATCTTTACATGACTTTCGTTTTGCATTTCCTTAATCAGTTTTAAATATCCTCAATGTTCGAAAAGGTATACGAATTTCTTCGTCTTCTCTGTTTTGGTAATGGTTTGGCAATTCGCTCGAGCTCAGTCTCTGACGAGTCAATGAATAAATAAGACGTCTTTTGTAATTGTGCTTTGTTTTGTATTTGACGTTGCGTTCGCCTTCCACATATTTTTAATATTTTATAAGATTTATTCCGTGTTTTTGAATTCATTACTGAAGTTTAGAGAACAAAAATATATTTTCTTATTATAACTATTTTTATGTCAATTCCACATAGCTATGTAGAGCGATTTCATTTGATTTTACAACAAAATATTTCTTAAACCGATTTGATTACTAATTTCATTTATTATTGGTTATCCAACCCGCCTTTAATTATACAAGTATACATACTTGTCCCACATTTGCGCAGAACTTAGCCGCTCAGCTTGGCTTGAGTTTGGTACCACAGTGCAGCATGGGGTTCTTTCGCTTTGCATGTGCTGGTAGTTGTTGCCCCTTTCCCATTGAACGGCTTGCGTGCAACAAAAGTTTTCCGGAGCGCGTCATACGCGGCGTATGCGCGATGCACATGCGAAGTTTCTTTCACTTTTAACAGCAAGTTGTGCGTTTATTTTTTCTTTTTCATTTCATTTGCTGCTGGCAACCCGACAAGCATTAAAGCTGACGCATGCTGCCGCTGACTGATTGGCTCACTGACAGGCAGTGGCTGTGGTGATGGTGAAGGCGATGGCGATGGCGACGCCAGCGGCACGCTTTCGTCATTAGTACTACGAGTATCGTTGCTGTTGTTGTTGTTGTGGCCGGCAGCTATAGCAAAACCACACAAACAAGACATAAACCAAAGAAAACACCATAACAGCCGCAACGACAACAAAATCACTTGCCTCCATTTTCGTATTGAGGACAGTGGGTCAATGTCCCACTGATAAAGTGAGCGTCGCCGGGCAAGTTGAAAGCCGACAACTGGAGCATTGAATGGCATCGTCGCCAGCTCCATCGCCATCGCCATCATTGTCTGCCAAAAGGCAAATGTGTTTTTAATTAATAAAACATCTATGCACAAGGTATGCGTGGTATTTGGTTGCACAAAAGAAATTCAACGTGAAATGTTCATCATTTTTCCGAATTTTTGAATTTTTGTTCTCTTTTGGCTTTTGACCAACACAACAGTCTCCCCCCGGACTTCGTTTAGACAAATATGACAATTGCATCTTTGTAAAAGCAATTCTGCTGGCTAATGAACATATCAGAGCATTGTCAAAAGAAAAATAAATAAAGTTTTCGTCTATGTAAAATATGAAATATGTGCCAGAAGAAAATCTGCGATTTCCACTTTTCATTTTTCTGCTTACGGCGGCGGCTCATTTTCTTTTTCATCTACCATCTATTTGACAAGCAACAAGTGTGTGTGAGTGTATGTTGAAATTTTCTAGTTGATAGCACAAAAATGTTGGCAATTTGTTTGACTTACGCATACAAACATACATATGTATATGTACAGATGACATGCAGTCGGCAGAAAACGTAGATATGTTTGCGTATAGAAAAGATTTATGCGTGTGCCAGTTTCATATTTAGTCTGTAGCTTGAAATTGCTTTTATACATTAATAAAGCGCTCTGGCTGAGCAAATATTAATTTTATTATGCTCTTAAATGATGCATAAATAAAGTCGAAAGAAACAAAGAAAACATAAATTGTGGGGTCCGTGCGTGTTGGGGTTACAAATTAAAAAAAAAAAAAAAACAACAAAAATGGGAAATTTTCTGTGAAAATATATTTTTTGTAGCATACTTATAGGCAGAAAGTTTAATAACTTTATATTGTTACGTGAGTTTTTCAAAAAGTACAACCCATAAAATTTTATAAGGTTGCAGATTTAGGTTGGTTGGCTTTTTCTTGACATTCTAAAACAGAACAGTTGTCGAACTAAGCTCTGTAAATTGAATTGATTAATGCCTTGTCAAAATCTATATACTATTTTCCGATTTCTTATCAATATATTGGTGCTTAAGCTACTACTGATTACAATTTCAATTCAGGACAACATATGGTCTGCGAGCTGCGGGACTTTTGAGAAAAATGTTTTATTTCGCTGCCGACACAAATTTAGTTTATCATTTATAGTATCAAATATATTTTACCATACCTGCTGAAACGTTCCCTATTTCTATGTCGTCAAAATTCGATGTTGCTTTGCTCCAAAAGAAATATCGGGATCGATATTGATTCATTTTTGGACTCTCATCGAGCTTTGCACACTTTGCCGTTGTCTTTCAAGCAAGGGAAGGGCTTTTCTGAAGCTGCAGGATCAGTACAATCAGACTAAACACAAAAATAGTAAATTGAAAATAAATACGATGTTAAAAGATATTGAAAATAGTGCCGTAATTGTGCGTAGGATTAAACTACAAAGCTTATCTTTTAACTCTTTGGTAAAATATCCTTTTCAATAACTTGCTTGGTACAACATTTATTCCATGTATATACAAAATTTGTAATTGATTGCAACCTTCATTTGCAGCTGTTCGTTATGGTCGCGTACCCAAACGTTCACGTGAGCTGAACGGTGGCACCGGAGCGGCCTCCTCGACGACAACGACAGGCCATAATAATTGCAATACTTCAGCTTCAGCAGCACTCACGACATTAAATGTGGATGAAACAGCCGCAAATAATTTGCATACTACAAACCCCAATCAGCATCAGCTTCACCAACAGCAGCAGCAGCAGCAGCAACCGCATCACCAGCAACAGCAGCAGCAGCAGCAACACCAACAACAGCAATCACAGTCACAGGCACATACCACAACGCACGCGAGTAGCGTGCGTGTGAATACTCCGAGTACACCACAGACGCCACAAATGTGTTCGATAGCCTCATCGCCATCGGAGCTGGGCGGTTGCAATAGTGCCAACAACAACAACAATGCCACAGGTGCCAGCGGCGTAGGCGTTGGCGTCGGCGTTGTGGTTGTGGGCGGACAACAAATGGTTGCCGGCAATATGGGTGCCGATGTTGTTGGCCAAGTTGGATGTGACGGCATGGCCGGCACTGCAAATGAATTGACTGTCTATGATGTGATTATGTGCGTCTCGCAGGCGCATCGCCTGAATTGCTCCTACACCGAGGAGCTGACACGCGAACTGATGCGACGTCCAGTGTCGGTGCCACAAAATGGCGTAAGCTCATATTAATTGAATTTATTACATTTTTGTTGGACTCAATCTTGTACCCATAAATTACACCACCTTATTAATTCCCTAATTCATTCATTCAAACCAAGCATTCGTTGAATTCGTTCGTTCAAATCATTCTTTTAGGTATTTCAATTCGTTCACTCAAATCTTTTACTTCACTTGCACCCATTAAAAACCTTACCTTCAAATCCTGTTCAAATCATGTATTCATTCAACTCATTCAATAAATCATACATTCACTTAAATCTTTTACTTCACTTCACTTATAAGAAAAAATTATATATTTAAAAAAATTAAATACAATTTGTCTAAGTAGAATGAAATCTTCCACCAAAATATCCAAACTGAAATTTAGAGTTTTATTCTGCATTTTACTCATTCCCATAGTTCCATACACGAATTCGATTCAATTACTTATTTATTTTACCTATATATTAATTATTATATTTAAAAATTCCACTTAGTTCATATAAGTTTTATTCGATATTTTAATTCAGTTATCTTGCTTTCATGCATTCATTCATTCATTCATATATTCTGTTTATTTATTTCCTTTATTAAATTGATTCATTTCATTCATATAATTCACATGACTCATTGCTTTTTTTTATTCATTGTCATAAAAAAAACTCATTTAAAATCATGCATTAAAATGCATTTTTGTATTCATTTAATTATTCGTTTTTTTCATATCTTTATTTAAATATTGTGTACAAAAAAGCATTGAAAATTTTTCGTTCATAGATCGCCACCACAGTAGCGGAGAATCTGGAATTTCAGAAAATCTGGCTCTGGCAGCAATTCTCCGCTCGCGTGACGCCCGGCGTGCAGCGCATTGTGGAGTTTGCGAAACGCGTACCTGGCTTCTGTGATTTCACGCAAGATGACCAACTGATACTCATCAAGCTGGGCTTTTTCGAGGTGTGGCTGACACATGTGGCACGCCTCATCAATGATACGACGCTGACGCTGGACGATGGCGCCTATCTAACGCGCCAGCAATTGGAGATACTCTATGATGTGAGTGCCCGATGGAGGGAAATTCAGAGAATATATATATATTTCCAAAGATTTAGGAAATTGAACATAATATATAAATTAATTATATTATCTATGTTGCAGATGGACTTTGTCAATGCGCTGCTTAATTTTGCCAACACACTAAACGCCTATGGGCTAAGTGATACAGAAATCGGTCTCTTCTCCGCCATGGTGCTGCTCGCCTCGGATCGTGCCGGTCTCAGTGAGCCGAAGGTAATCGGACGGGCGCGAGAGCTCATTGCCGAGGCGCTGCGTGTGCAGATCCTGCGCTCCCGAGCCGGTTCGACGCAGGCTCTGCAGCTAATGCCAGCGCTGGAGGCTAAGATACCCGAGCTGCGCTCGCTCGGTGCCAAGCACTTCTCACACCTGGACTGGCTGCGAATGAACTGGACCAAGCTGCGTCTGCCGCCCCTCTTTGCCGAAATCTTTGACATACCCAAGGCCGACGACGAAATGTAGGACGACGGCGCCGTGTCTGGGTGAGAAGAGATCTAGCGCAACAACAACAGAAACAACAGAAACAACAAAAACAACAACAGCAACAGCAACAAATATTATAAAACTTGTACGTTTAAGGAATTAGCGTTTAAAGAAAACTGCATCAAATACATACATCTACTCAACATTAAAGACGAAACAAGCGAAACCATACACTTGCATAAAAAGTAATTGTCTAAACGTTACGATTCAACATTTTAAAGAGGGATTTTTTCGTTCACATTTTGTTGTGCGTTAGATCAAAAAAAAAAAAAGAAAAGAAAAAATAAACAAAAACAACGCCCCAATGAAAATTCGAAACGAGAAACTAAACTAAAAATGCAGCACCAACAGCTGAACATATCCAACACATGCACAACATAAATTTATTTATTTCATTCTCAACTCATTGCCCATTGCCCCCTGTCCATCAACCCATTATCCCATTAGCCCATCAGCCCCTGAGCCATGCCCTGCAGGAAATAAAGAGCAACAACAACAACAAAAGTTATTGGCCGGCTAACTCTATGGAAGGCATATTTTCTAACTCGACTGAAGTGCGAGCGTTAAAGTTCGATAAATACTGGTTTTTTATAATACATATTAATAAAGATTACACACATATATATATGCGTATGTACTCGTATATATACATATTTATATGTAAATCTAGAAATATTTACATTTAAAGTAGTTAAAAAAAGAGATGAATGAGAAGAAGAAACAAAAGACCCAATATTGTTTTAGCTTGAAAACTTTGAGTAGCCTAAAGAAAAAACAAAAAATGTTTTCTTAAACTTAGACTACATTACTTTTTGTTTATAATTGAAATCTAATGACGATAATGATGAAATGAGAACGATGCGTTTATTGTATCTGCGTGTAAATAAATTATAATTAATATTTACCATTTAATTGCTACTTCACCATTATAATTATTATTATTATCATTTCTCTCATAAGCATAGGCTATGTATAGAATGCGCTTTCCACAGCCAACCACAACAACTTTCCATGTCCGTTTGTCCGAGCACAAGTTTCCAAATTAACAACAAGTTAAAAATATGGAGTAAGTACCGCTTATAATTATTTCTACAACTATTTTGGAAAGTGCAGGAAAGCAACGGCATGCCGCAGCTGAAATATAAGCAACGTGTTCAGTTTTCACATTTACATACATATATAATTATATAATACATATACTTATAAAACAAGCAGATTTATAATGTAATGGATAAAAAGTTAAGCGCTTCATTTGAAAAATGCATATTTTCTAAATTTAAGTGCTTTAATTACAGCTTACTTTGTATAACTTGGAACAATCAAATTGTTTGATAAATTTTTGAATAGATTGGTGCTAAATTTATGTGTTAAGTTTACATTGAAGGACGAACAAGCAAAAAACACAAGTGAACATCAACTTATGTATATTATCACGCATACATACATACAGACATAGTACATACAAACATATGTAACGAGAAAACAAATCTATTAAACTCTAAAACTTTTCATTAATTGTTGAATTTATATTATATATACATAGAACATTTTGTGAAAATTTATTAGTGTGAAACAAAATTAGAGAAGCAGAGCTGCGATTCAGGCACCCAAAAAAGCTTGGCGTAGTCACATTTTATGCTCCATGTGTACCTTTCGCTTATTAAATTAGAGCTAAAATTAAATACATAAATAGATACATATACATACATATATAGAGTATAGAGTACTATTTGCAATATCTTACATACGCAACTTTATATTAAAGGTCCAAATTAGATATGCCCTATACATACATAAATACACATAGCTACATACATTTATGCTTGTCTATCATTTTCCCAAAGTTCTCATAGGTTTCCCAATATTTTTGAGAGATTTGACTTTTCTCTCCAATTCGTTTTTGCGGCTTGCAGTTTTATAAATATACTCTTCGAAACAAAGGCCGGCAAGATAAGTAAGTGGTACAACAAAGTCCCAAAATATTTACAATTCCTCGAGTGACAATGATTTACCTTTAGGCCTCACCTTTTTATTAATGATTTAATGCTGTTTGCAATAATCTCAAAATCTAGAAAAAAATAACTAAATTAAATTTAAATAAATTAATCCAATTTAACCAATTTCAAATGTCTTTTAAGTAATATGACGGTATGGTCAGACAACCAAATAATTTTCACACAAATTTATCAAATTTGAAAAGAATGTCTTCATTAGAATATTATTTCAATTAAATGATTGGACTATTAATTAATGTTGTTGTCAAAAAGATTGTGAATACGCCCTAAAATATCTGTGCATATATAATTTGTAGTTAGCGAACATATTGAGAGTTAAAACTGAATGCAGACATAATTCGAGAGAGGCATTGAAACTTACTAATATTATATCAAAGATATGAAATGCTGTATTGGATTAGTAATTTCACACCACCGTCCGATACAGACAGCTTATCTTCTCCTCCAATTTCTCACTCATCTTAATTAGCACCTGAAGAATTCCAAATAATTTAGAATTTATCAAATCTGTTGTACCACTTTCTTAGGGCGGTTGTATTATCACAGTGTCTAGCAGCACAAACAGAAGTCTCCGCTAAAAATATGTTTGGTTCGTAAACGAGTGCGCATAATTAAACCTTATGAATATAGCGATAAAGAAATTACAATACGTATATAGAATATATACATAAATACATAAATGAACTTACTAAAACAGAGCAACAGATTTTTAATTAATTAAATTATATACATACATACATACATATACTTTAACATATATATTTAACTATATATGCCTAGATACAATTTTTTACCTACTGTAGCTTTGATTACATTTTTCAATGATGTGTCAAATTTTAAATATGGTATTTAAAATAGAAATACTCTCTATAGAAAAAACAAAAAACGATCAAGAAACAGCAAACAAACCAACAAGAAAATGTTGAAAAAAAGCAAATGCCGACTTCCTAACAAAATGCTCTCTCGCTTGTTGCTAATTAAGTGTCACTACTTACTCTACTCAAAAGCAATTACAGTGCAAAAAATAACTGAAACTTAAACAAAAAAAATATATATGAAAAAAAATATATATATATTATATAACTACATATGTGTATGTTCTACAAAAAATAAAGTCGCTTTACTATTTACTAAAAAGAAAAACAAAAAAAAAGATTGCAAAAAAATATAATGAAGAAATAGAGCATGATCCATATGCATTAAATACTATGCCGCAAAGATAAGAACTGCGCAAACTAACATTAAAAAAAGCAGCTGCAGCAACAACCACAATAACAGGCGCAACAATTTGTAATTAAATTACAGATGAGAGAGAAAAGAAAAGTAAACAAAACAAAACACTTGAGTAAGTTGAGAACAGAAACATGTCTTTGAATAAATAAACTGATAAACTACTATGCATATATACGATGTGCATATATGTATGTACATATATGCCCAAGTAGTTGATTATATGTGTGTGCATGACACGACTTTTATTTCGAATATCAATGACTTAGATACACAGAAAATGTACAAACATTTTGCAATTAAGGTACATACATATTTATTTTAAATACATCATTTTTCAAATGCCGCTTCACCATGTTGGGTGTGCCTAATCATCTCTAGGCATCGGATTGTATTGCGTGAGTACCTTTGAGATAGCCATCGCCAGTTCAGGCGTGGCAGCGGCCAATACACGCCTTGACATGATATCGAATTCGCCACCAGCAGGATCTATAACCACACCGCCTGCCTCACGCACTATCAAATCAGCCGCACACACATCCCAGGCATGTATCCCAAACTCATAGTTAGCATCGGCAGCCCCAAGAGCCACCATAGCCATGTTTAATGCAGCTGAGCCCAGAACACGCAGACTGCAAAATATGTATAAAAATACTATTCAATAGAAAAAGAAACTTCTAGCAATACTCACGCATGCACTTCCTTAGCCATTTTTGCGAAATTCTCATTGACCACCTTCATTTTTTCCACGTCGCGTGTGGTGCCAAATTCGCTGGTAACCAATGCCTTTTTTATATCCTTCTGACCGCTGACCTGTATGCGCTTGCCATTGTAGAAGGCACCCTGGCCACGACGGGCCGTGAAGCGCTGCTCCAATATGGGATTATACACAATGCCAATTTCGGTCACCTTATTCACCTTCAGGCCCACCGAAATGCAGGAATGTGGAAATGCGTGTACGAAGTTCATGGTGCCATCAACGGGATCGATTATCCAGGTGGGGCAATCAGTCAACTTGTTGGCGCCAGCTTCGCCGCTGCTCTCTTCTTCGCCAATGAATCTGCAAAAGATACATACATACATACAAGTATATACAAACAAGGGCGTACGCAGGGGGGGCAGGGGGGCAGGGGGACGGTGCATCTATAAGCACCATATCCACCACTTACTTGTGATCGGGAAAATGTTTGGTTATGCCATTCATAAGCAATTTTTCAACATCTTTGTCCGTTTGGGTGACCAAGTCAATATCGCCCGATTTCAGCTCAAATTCTTGGCGCGTCTCATTGTTGCATGCAATCAGCTGCATGTTCATATTTGTGTATAAGATATACCTATTGTTGAACTTTCAATTCTTACCTGGCCCGCTTCAGTTACCAAATTATTAATGACTTCGAAACATTTACCCAGATCCAAACTGTCTCCCATTTTCGCAGAATAAAAAGCGGCACCACCACCCTGGAATTTTACAAAACTAATTGGATTTGGCCAACGCTTAGTGATGTAAAAAGACTTTCGATTAGCGGCATAATAAATTAATCGATTGTGCAACAAGTATCGACAACACAAACGAGTGCACGCTGGTAAAAGCAATAGCGCGCGCATTGAATCCATTTGAAAAACAGTTGATTTCGTTGCTGAAATTTATTACACAAAGAGCTCGTAAATACAAAGCTATGTATGTTCGTAACTAATTATAGGTAAGAGTTTAATTTTGACTTGTTTGCATTTCACTTCTTGGTAAGCAGTCTCAATGATGCGATGGCGTTGGCTGATTCGTCTTCGTTTTTTGATCATTGTCTGACACACCACTTGAATCTGAAAACTCCGTTTGGGAATGAAAGTCTTTCTTATTTGTTTGTTTTCGACTCTGCTGACAGCACTCATCTGCATTTGCCGACCTGTCTTGGTCGTCTCGCGGGGACGGATAGTCCTGTTGTATTTGTGATATCAATTCCAGTGCTAACTTTTTCGTTGACGCTGCCAAAACCCGACGTGACATCAGATCTATTGGACCGCCCGCCGGATCCATAACAACGCCACCCGCCTCGGTGACTAAAAGAATTCCAGCGGCTATATCCCAAATGTGTAAGCCGAAAAAATAGAAAGCATCAGCTACACCTGAGGCCACCATCGCCAGATCCATAGCCGATGAGCCAACACTGCGTAGACTATAAATAGAGACATATTATTCAGAAATTAATTAGAAGGAAATGTTTGAAATTCACCCTAGAACATCAATGTTATGAACAAAGCTATACAGCTCGACTTACGCATGGGCCTTAGTAATCAGCCGTCTTGCGTTCTCTATCACCGCCAGCGTGCGTGCTTCGTTCATGCCGGGACAATATTCCTGCAATATCATGGCTTGCTTCAGATTCGTCTGTCCACTTGTCGTTATGGGCTCCCCATTCAGATGGGCGCCCATACCCCGTCTTGCCGTATAACACTGGCCCATGGCGGGGCTGAGTATAATGCCGATCTCAGTCTTTTTTTCGACTAGCAGTGCCACGGAGATGCAATAGTAGGGAAAATGGTGTACATAGTTCATGGTGCCATCAATTGGATCTATTACCCAGGTTGGCTCGTCGCTGAGCACAACTATGGCATTATCTGTACTTGTAATGTGCTCTTCACCTATAAATCTGGGAGGGATTCTCTTTAAATGACAATGTTATTCTTTAACTGAATGAATCAATTACTTATGATCAGGATATTTCTTATGAATTGCTTCAATTATCATTGCCTCCACTTCGGTGTCAGTACGGGTGACCAAATCGTGCTCATGCTGCTTGGTAGTATACTCCAAACGACCCTTGTTGGCGGTCAAGGCAACCTGTAAATAAATGTAGCTTGAGGACGACAGGTCGGCCGCATTTATTTGTAATTTAGATTCACCTCGCCCGCTCTTTTAATAACATTGATCGCAACTTCGAAGCACTCATCCAGGTCCAAGGCCATCTTCTTTTCATCTTCTACTTTCTTCTCTTGAATGGGACATTCATAGACGCAAAGCATACCATTAGAGTCGCGGGATGTATTCGTTGTCTTGTCATTATACATTTTCGTTGCATCGTATGAGGCATCGGTGTTTGTGTTTTTACTCGATGAAGGTCCTACCGAGTTAGCTGAAGTAACTTGAAGCCGATTTTGTGTCGCTCCATGATCAGACTTCTTTGAATCTCGGCGCTGTATGTCCGATTTCACAATTTTCTGATGAGCTTTCGGTGTCGGTTCCTTCATTAAAGAAGGTCGCATAGCATTTACACGTGGATCTTCTTGATTTGCTTCCTTGTCTTCTAATCCAAAATTTCTTGCTACATTTACACTAGATTCTGTAGCTCTTTTCAAAATCTTTGGGTCTGAGTGGCGTATAGCCGCTACACGCGGATCTTGTCTAGTTGCCCTTCCCTCTTCTAACCCATAATCTCTTGCTGGGTTACTCAACAGAGAATTCCTTGATTCTGGAAAGCTATCAGAAGCTTTACTCTCCTCTGACTTTGTTTTATCAATATCAGGGGGACGGCTTGGTTTTGGTTTCGTTAGCTTTTCTTGAGACTTACTTTCATGTACTTTCATTTTTGATAGCTTTGGTGATGCATGAGATATTGATTTCTCACTTCTACGTATTTCAGCTACGCGGGGATCTTGCTGATTTGCTTTTTCATCTTCCAAGCCATAACTCCTTGCCGGGTTTTCCATTGATGGGGTTTCGCTATATAGATCTTTTCTTTCCTCATCTTTTTTTTTCTTATCGTCCTCCATGGTGTTCAATAAGTCCCGTGATAACAATGAGAAATACCACCAAGAAGTTGCATGCTCAATAACAAGCTTCACAATCCAAAAACTATTGTGTGCATGTGTCTATGTGCCGAAACAAAAAACAAATTTACATTTTCAAATTGAAGTTCTTAAATTCAACTTTTAATTATTGGGCTACTTATAGCCAAAAAAGCGAAGCAGCTTTCGGGTTCCGCAGAAGGATAACTAGTTGGAAATATTATTTATATGAAGAGATACAACGGCTATCATTTGACTAAGGATTAAAGATATTTATTTATTATGATGATTTATTAAAATGAAAAAATAAAGAGTTCTCAAACTTATTTTGTTTTCAACCGTGCTCTTTAGTGTTTCACCGTTTCATTTGGTCAGCCCTGAATCTGCAACAAGCTGGCAGCACCAACCGACCCTCAAGTAATCGATATGTTTGTGCTTATCGCGCGCGTGCACTTCACAATTTTATTTTAATTTCACAACAATAGTCGAAACCGGCTTTATTTGTATTTAATTTGTATGAAGTCTCTGGTAAATGGCTACCAACAAGGTAAAGTTATTGTTCAAGTCACACATTTGTGTTGTCTATTTCGAAGCAAATAAAACATTGGATGTAAACATTAAAAACGCCCCGCAGAATATTACAAAAATAATTAAAAAATAAATATTTTTATTGCGCCATAGGAATGTTTGGTAGTGGTGCTAGATGTGCGGAACTGCGCCACCGAGGAATTCAAGTTGAAATCGGTTAAATGTGTTTCTGAAATTCTCAAAGCAAAGGTACCTTTATATTTCACACCTTAATATATTATTAATTCTGCAAATCATCTTCAGCTTGTGAGCGACAGAAAGGACTATGTATCCTTTGTGCTGGTGGGGACCGAACGTGCTGAAAACGGAATTGGGTGCAAAAACATTGTTCAAAATGAAAATCCCCGGCTATGCAGCTGGCAATTATTGCTCGACTTTTATCAATTTGTCAATGTAACGTCATCACCCTGCGACGATGGTGCATGGTTGGATGGACTCGCCGTGGCCATAGATGTATTTAAAAACGCGCATGCGTTGAGAGTAGCCCATAAGCGGATCCTGCTTTTGTATGACTTCAACTTGATGAGTCAGAACTATGATAATTACAAAGATATCACCAATCAAATTGTCAATGCCGACATCGAGCTAATTGTGGGGTAAGCATCGACTTGCATGTTTCTCGTCTGCCGTGCTCACAAAATATTTGCCCACTCCATGTTTACAATACATTCATCCACTCATCTGGCTGTTCATGTTATAAAGTGCATCTTAATATTTTTCTTTTATATGAAAATATAAAACCATCTCCATAAACTACAATGAATAGATAGCTTATAGAAAGCCTTATTTATTTAATATCTTAAATTTATCTATAAAGATATATACATTACATTACATATTTGATTCTTTTTAGGACCCACAACATTGCTTACATAGATAACGCTGAATCCTCCCAGGCTCAGGCAATTTTTAAAACATCTCGGAAGGCAAATATCCACGAACTGGAAAATCAGAAACGCGCAATTCAGCTTGTCTCCTTCTGCAATGCTACACTGTGCAACTTCAAGGAGGCACTTAGCACTGTCTTTAAGATGCCAAATCAAAGACCATGGGCATGGAATGCAAAACTTCATATTGGCAGTAAAATCAACATTAGTGTTCAAGGCATTATATCCATTAAAAATGAGAGCAACATTAAACTAAAGAAATGCTGGGAGGAGGCCGGCGAGGAGATGAAGCGTGAACAGAAACACTTTATTAAAGGCACCGAAGTGACTCCTGAAGAGGATGATCTCATCTCTGGGTACATGCTGGGTGGCACCGCGGTGCCATACGATGATAAATTAATGGACTCAGAGACAAAGCATGCACCGGGCCTGCACTGCGTGGCTTTTTTGAAGAAAAATGCCATACCCGATGAATATTACTGTGGCGAATCATTATACACGTTGGTCCATCAAAAGGGTAATCAGACAGCGGCACGTAAGCTGGACGCTCTGGTGCGGGCGCTGCACGAACAACGACGTATAATGTTGTGTTGGAAAATTTACAGTGTCAAGCTGAACACTCCACGTCTAGTGGTGCTTTCGCCCAACGAACTGGACGACAACTCTCCGGCCACATTGTCGATGCTAGAGCTCTCTTATCATTGGCAGCATCATTTCTGGAATTTTCCTGCTCTGCGCACTGAGAAAACATCCTGCACGGAGCAACAATTCCAGGCCATTGACAAACTAATCGATAGCATGGATCTTGAGTGCACACTGCGCGATACCCAACAGCCGCGAGAATTGCGCGCCAATGATTTGCTACCTTTCGACCAGCTGCCAAGCATTTACGAACACAATGTTATGGACATACTGGAGTGCAAAGTGCTCCGGAAAGCGGGTGATGACGAAAAACAGTTCAAGGACATGTTGCGGGATAAACGTTTTGTTGAGATATTCTGGAAAGTGCCGGAGGCAATTGAACAGCAGGCCAAAAACGCGGCTAAGGCACTAAAGAAACAATTTCCATTGGAGCATAGCAATGCATGGCTAGAAAAGCTCAGAGCGCAACAATTGGCCGAAAATCAGCCCCGCATCAAACAGGAACGAAAAAATAACGTGCCCGAGGATGAGGCTGCACTAATCGCCATTGACGCTGTGGGTCTGAACTCACCCGCTGAGGATTTCCAACAACTATTGCAGCACAAAGTTCGAACCCTCCAGCACAACACACAACGCGATGCCAAATTTCAAGGCTATGCGGCGCAAATGCGTGTGGTTATCCTAACGTTGCTGGAACGCTCGCAACCAAATTTGGAGACGCTGCAAGAACTCTTGCGGCTATATCGCAACAGCTGCTTCGAGTTCAATGCTTTTGCCGATTATGATCAATTTGCAGCAGAAATAAAGAGCAAAGCGAGGGACAAAAACCTGCGGGAATTCTGGTTTAAAGTTATGGTCGATATGCAACTCGGACCGTTGGTTATTGGCGAAGCCACGCTCGACACTGAGCTGCGTTTGAGAAAATACTATAATATAGAACAATGGTCTTCGGATGAGGAAAGCGAGCCGCAGCTGATTGAATAACTTCATTTATATACATAAATATTTTTATAATCATAAACCTAGAGTTGCTCTCTATGGTTACATGAAGACGACGTGTTTGTTAAAAGTTTTGCTCACCAAAAAAATTGTTATTTCAAATCGATCCCAGAGCATTGCATAAGTTTTCTGAAAGAATATAACTTTATTATATTGCAAGTTGATTTTGTACCAGTAAATGAATATATAAACGGTAAGTATAACGATATAATAAAAGTCACCTATCAAGCCATGAATAATAGCGTTATATCTTTTTTATATTGCGTAAACGAATATGTTTATTCATTCAAATCTAAGTTTTGGTTTGTTTTAAATTACATTTATGCCAGAACTTATAATTTTGTACCCATTACCAATGCAACATAAAAACATTATTTATTAAAATAAAATCTGTCATATGCCAATTATTTATTTTTGGTTTTCAAAGTTATTTCAGACCTTCGATGAAATGGTTAATTATGCCCTAAAGGGCAATATAAATCAAAAAGTATTCAAAGATATTCTTTATAAGCAGGCTTTTTTCCATAGCCTTTGTAAGTTCTTCGTCCTTTACTCCTGTCGATAGTACACATACTTGTAGGTTTTTATTATTATATCCTTTGTCAGATCTGTATCTTTATCTTCAAAACCGTTATCATTTTCAGCATTATTTAAAAGTTTGTTTTTAAAAATTGTTTTCCCACTTCTAATAAATTGAAAAGAAATTTAGATGGTACCGGAGATATTTCTAAATACTTACCTTTATTAAGGGACACAGATCTTAAATTATAGATAGCTATGAAGGTTTCTAATCTCATGTTATGGTACTGAGAATACTGGCCTTGATTTGTTGAAACAATAAACTTTATTTTACACGTATTTCTCGATAAATATATATACATATATATATCCCTTTTTCCACATATAGTATAATGTACATGTATAGTTTAAAATATATGTATATATATGTTTGTATATAGGCTATAATAGTTTTCCCTTTTTGCCACACTACAGCTAACGCAGAATTTACATTCAGACCCTACCATTTCATTTCAAGAACTCGTCAACTTCTTCAAAAACAACAACAATACTAACAATACACAACTAATTATCATAATATAAGTATTTTTATAAGTGTATATTTTCTGCAGCTGCAGCAGTAACATCAATGATATGTTTTCGTTGCCGGAAGTCTTCTGACCCATTAAACGTAGGGATACGTGTATATATGTATGCATGTACAGCATAGATCTATATATGTATGTATGTATATATAAAGATTGTTATATTAATATGTATAATAGGATTGTTTGATAAGCAATATGCATATATGGAACACTGATATCTGATATGTATCGTTCTCAAGCTTATAAACTAACAAATTCTGACGTTCATACGCGGAGTGCCAGTTCATGAAAAGGAAGTCATGAATACAGCAAAAGGACGTATCACGGCAAAAGGGCGTAAAAGTGAAACCGCAATGTGTATAAATTTAAATGGAACTTACGTGTCTGGTGAGTGTTATTTAAATAAGTACAACAAATATATATTTATATATGGTATGGTTAAAAAAAACTGATAACTGAAAAGAATAAACACTGGAACAGATAAATGCAAACAGAATCCAAGTGTACTTCGTGGCTATTACTGGAATCGTGTATATATATTTATATAAATTCTACTAAACATACTACAATCATAATTATTGTATAATTAAATTTTATCACAACGAATTAGCAAGAACTTAAGCTAAACTACAACAAACAAACAAATTAAGTGGAAAAATGTGCGCTCTTAGTGTAGTGTTCTATTCTTGTTCACTACGTGGAAATGTGGAAAAACCAATTGAAAACGCAGGCACAGACACGCATAAAATATTTCACACAAAATATTGGGTGCAAATGCTTTTGGGTTGGTTTACTTACACACAGCTTACAAACTACGCAGATAGATTAGAAATCGTAAAATTTTCGGAAAGGAGATTTACAAAACACGTACGAAAACACGACGCCGATTCGAGCGCCATTAGACTAAAAATGCCGGAACACCTTTGAGCGATTGCATGGAACTATGGCAAAGTCGAGTAGAACTCTTTTTCTTTAAGCTATAAGCAAACCAGTACGCTTACTGCATACTGTTGAGATTAAATTGCAAAGGGAGGGGGCGAAATTATAGTCCACTATATAGTACGGATAGCTAGCACATACAGCATATAGTGTATAAGCATTTGCAAGAATCCCGCACTCTACTTCCTCTCTACGGGACGATTGGCAAACAGCTGCTCGACTATCTGCTCGTCGGCCAGGGTCGAAATGTCACCCACATTGCGATCATTGACCGCAATTTTACGCAACACACGACGCATTATCTTGCCGGAACGTGTCTTGGGCAAGCCAGGCGCATTCTGTACCACATCGGGCATGGCAAATGGTCCAATGCGTTCCCGTACCAACTTCTTCAGATCCGCCACAAGCTTCTGATCGAACTCCTCGTTCTCATTGGGCGTAATGAAGCAGTAAAGGCATTCGCCCTTAACAGGATGCGGACGTGAAACGACGGCCGACTCGGCCACTCGGGGATGCTCTGTCAGCACAGACTCTACCTCGGCTGTAGACATCAGATGGCCCGACACGTTCAACATGTCGTCAACACGACCAGTAATCCACAGATACCCATCCCCGTCGCGACGTGCGCCTATAAATGCAATCCAATTAGTATCCACCTTGAAAAATTCCTATAAAGGTCATCCTTACCATCGCCCGTGCAGTAGTAGCCCGGGAACTTTGAGAAATATGTGTCCTCGAAACGCTCATGATTGTTGTACAGGCTGCGCATCATGCCAGGCCAAGGCTGTGAAAAGACCAAATAGCCTTCACCTTCACCTTTGATTTCAGTGCCACACTCGTCTAGCAGCGTCGGCTTCACACCAAAGAACGGGAAGGACTATAGGGGGCAGCATAAAAGAAAAGCATGAGTCACCTTCTATTGCATTTGGAATTTCAAATGAGCATTTAATTTACTTACAGCTGAACCAGGTTTCATGGGTGTGGCACCAGGCAGGGGCGTTATAACATGTCCACCAGTTTCCGTTTGCCAGAATGTGTCCACAATGGAGCACTGCTCCTTGCCAATGTATTTATAGTACCAGAGCCAAGCCTCCGGATTGATGGGCTCACCCACGCTGCCAAGCACCCTTTTCAGAGGCAAAAGAGAAATTTAGACATGAGCAGTCCGCATATACAAAGTACCTATAATTACACCTACTTCAGACCGGTCAAGTTGTGCTTGAGAACAGGCCCCTCTCCGAATTTCATCAGCGCTCGTATGGCTGTGGGTGCGGTGTAGAATTGTGTCACCTTGTACTTGTCGATGACGGCCCAGTAGCGATCGTTGTCCGGATAGAATGGGGTTCCCTCGAACTGCAAAAAGACAATCAATTAATTAAACAATAAGTAGTTGCCACTTAAACACTTATCTCCAGTATATCTACGTTCTAAAAATGTTCAACTACGTTGAACACCCTGTACCTGAATCTTATAAAAGGGTTTATGCAAAGTATCTTAAAGCCAAAAGAAAGCATCTCCGAACCCATTAAGTACATACATATATTCTTAATCAGCATGACGAAATTTCACAACAATTTTTTAGAAAGGGCATAATTTTTAAAAAGAGAATTATGCATTATCTACTCAACTCAACTCTTTTTCAATGCGATATGGGGTATATTTACAAAGCTATCATTATTACTTACAATGACAGAGGTGGCGCCATTGGCGAGTGGTCCATAAACCACATATGTGTGTCCAGTAATCCAGCCAACGTCAGCAGTGCACCAGTAGATGTCGCCGGGCTTATAGTCGAAGACGATTTTGAATGTTGTGGCCGCGTACAACAAATATCCTGCTGTGGTGTGCAACACACCTTTGGGCTTGCCGGTGGAGCCGCTGGTGTAGAGCATGAAGAGGGGATCCTCGGCAGACATCCACTCGGGATAGCAAGCCGGCTCCTTGTCCTCCATCTCCTCGTGCCACCAGTAATCGCGATCGTCGGTCCATGGAATTTCATCCTGCACATGATCCTCCTGGCAGGGCGTCACGCGCTTCAAATGCGACACTACAATACACTTCTCCACCGAATGGCCCATCTCCTCGACCTTCTCCATGGCCACATCGCACAGAGCCTTCAGATAGAGAGGCTTATTGCCACGCCAAGCGCCATCGGCCGTAACCAACAGCTTGGCCTTGCAATCAAACATGCGCTCGGCCAGCGAGTCCGAAGAGAAGCCCGCAAACACAATCGAATGCACGGCTCCGATGCGTGCGCACGCCAACATGGCAATGGGCAGCTCCAAAATCATGGGCATATAGATGGACACACGATCGCCCTTCTGCACGCCATGGTCCTTCAACACGTTCGCGAAACGGCAAACCTCCTCCAACAGCTTTCGGTAGGTGAGGCCGCGCGAATAGTCGTCGGGGTGGTTGCCCTCCCTGTAAAGAGGTGAACAAAACGTGTGTCATGAATAGGCGCCAAAAGCAAGAGAGATTTCTGATGCATTTACTGTGTTATCAATTGGAATCGCAAATGAGCTAATTACACGCCTACTCGTCTTATTGTTCCAATTGAATAACTCACTCGAAATTCATAATTGCAGCTTCCGCTCGTGCCCGACACGAGTGTTCAGCTACTTACTAATTTATATTTATGCATAATTTGATTCTTATCTGCCTTCTTCAGCTTCAAGATATGATATTGAAAAGGTACTGTCGGTCTGAGTCCATTTTATTGTTCAATAGTCTGTTTACTTTTAGATCCACCTGCACAACTCAATCTCCGCGAATGGCCATACATTCATACATACTTATACAATGTTTGATGCCTTTCTCTTTTGTTGTGAACTTTTTAATTTCAGAATGCTTTTGTTTTCAACTTGGCAACAATCGAACCAGCACAATATGCAAATGCATTGTATTCGTAATGCAATGTAGTATGCGACATAAATATCTCCCCATTGATGACTAAATGTACGAATTATTATTTCAATTAAAATTGTATTGCCATAAATAGAAAATAACTGTATTCAGCTTTTCCACTTGGGCACAGTGTATTTAATGTTTCTCAACACTGATCACAATTTACAACAGTTTGCAAACGGCAGCGAATCTTTTACAATGTAGCAAATAAATAATCCAAAGAAATTTTATTACACTTTGTAAGTGAAATAAAATATTAAAATAATTATTGAATTAAAATAGCCTATCTATAGCTACTAAATATTGAAAATTTATTATTTAAAATATTTTTATTTCTTTGTTTTGTATACTTCGAAGCAACTTTTAGATTTATTTCGCACAGTTTTGTGCAATTTTTCCATTTGAATTAATTTGAAATCTACTATACATGTCGGCAAAGCTTTAAGCAAAAACAATTTACTTGGGAATTTAATATGCAACGGAAAATCGTGACTTGGCACATTCGTGGCCAAATGAACGGATATGAATGGTGTTGCGTTTTATTGAAGGTCAAGTTTTGTGACAAACGGTTTTACTGCTTTACAAGCACCATTAATCGACGTACTTATTTCATTAGAGCCAAACAATAACAAAGTTCAGAGTACACCGCCACAATGTCTAGGCCTGCAACAAAGAGCTTGACTCAGAAACAAAAGTTCCTTAATGGGTAAGCGAAAACGTAACAATTACCCTATTTTTAGAACGACCGATAAGATTTTGGCCTAATAAACGTTACTCAGGAACCAAAAGAAAGTCTTCAAAACAATAACAAAAGCAGCCCATGACGTACACATAGCCTATTTTTGTACATAACCGTCCAAAGTGCGAGAAATTTGGCAGGCCATGAATAAATGTGTATACAAGTATGACAGAAATTTTTATGTTTAAATATAAACAAGTTCAATTGTATCTAAACCCTACTGTCAAGTACATTATGACCCCTCACTGAGAATTAAATGTACGTCTATGTCATTTCATATTTTCAAAACATAGGACTTGCCTGTAAAAATAGACAATTAAGAAAATATCACTTGTGCACCCCAGCTGCGAGGGAAACGCAGCAGGAGTCTAAATGATAAGAATTGAATTTTGTTAGTTTATGATAATTACCACACAATACAATAATAATAATAACGAATATAAATTTGGCTAAAATGTGAACCACAATAACAAATCATGACGTACTCATTGGCTATTTACGTACAAATGCGTTCAAAGTGCTATTTGCTCTTTACTCATGACTAAGTTTATATGAATGTATGTACATATGTGTGTATAAAGGCGTCCTAATGAAATGTAGTTCAACATTTACGAAATCGTGTTCAATTAGTAAGATGATAAAAATAAAAAATAACACTAATCAACTTTCACGGTGGGAATGAAATATTAAGGCTAAATAAAAAACTGACATCAAAATTTAGAATGGTAAACAAAACTGTTAACATGGTAACAAAACAGCAGTAAGCAGTGCTCCTAAAACTGTAAGCAGTCAATCTCAATTTTTAATCAGAGAGACGTGGTTTAATTCAAGGTCGAGCTGAAGTCTAAATACCCAAAGTTAGGGTGTACGCTCTCTCCCTCTTTCCCACACTCTCTCGCGTTTTATCAGGAACATTTTTACTCAACAACGAAGCATTTGCCGGTCTCTGTATAATCAAACTGTGCTGTTGTGTGCGTGCCGCTGTTAAGTCTACATGACTAATGGCAGGCATGGCATGAAAAAGCGAAATTAGTCTGCATTTATCTGACCATTTTTCGTACAATAACAAACTGGATTTGTAGTACTATTTACAATTTAGCACATGCTACTTATCTATAATCATTCAGACGATTCCATTGATTTGGCTAGACAAGATTTCTTTGTTCCTTAGAAACAGCAGACGTCACGTTCACCTTTTGACCGAGACAGCACACAAACGCGTGGCAAAAGCATACATATGTATGTCGGCTGTTATTTCAGCGCGCTTATCAAAAATAAATAAAAAATCAGCAAGATTTTACTGGTAGTACGTAATGCGTACAACATCATGTGAGAATTTTGTTCTTCCTTTAACGGCACTTAGCAGCAGCAATAACAGCAGCTGCTACATTGATTATAACAGCTGTTGTTGTTGCTTCGCGTGTCTAATAGCAGTGACAGTAATCAAACCAACAACAAATAAATAGCATCGAATGTTTTTTTGGCGCGCGCCGGCAAATTTGTTGTTTGTATATGTATGTATGAATGTATTTATGTATGATGATTGCGTGAGTGTTTTTGTTACTAAAACGTGCCCAGACGTTTTGTAGAATGCGGGTCTAAACCTTCGCCAACTTTTGTTGTCGATGCGTGCGCTACAGTTTGAGAGCAACAGTCGTACGATCTTTGGCGGCTGCCGTTTAACGATCACTAATTTATGCAACAATAAACACACTGATATTTTAATGCGACTTATTTACATTTTGCACACATTGTTAGGCCTTTTTTAACTTAATAGTTATGAATGGATTTTTAGTATATACATACATATGTATGTATGCATGAATGTCTGACCCCCTTTAACGCATTACCACATCTTGAGATATTGCAGATTTCATAAATTGCGAAAATGATAAGAAAACGCAAATTCCAACCAAACAACATACAAATATACACATGTACACAAAGACACAAAATCACGCCCACACGTCTTTTTGTATGTATGTATTTATGTTGTTTATTTACGTATGTATATCTATATTTTTATATGTATGAGTACAGCACAACAACAAAATATGTGCCATAAGCTCTCTTGCTTTTGAACTTGCAGGTGTGTCAGCATTAACATTGATTGTGCCTTGTTGGCTCGGTCTTTATTTTTACGTCTTTCACACACACATACATACAAACATTTCTCTAGAATAGTAGAAGTTTGGCGCTCTCTAATTGGTTGTGAGTAATCAGACGATATGATCGCGTGATTTTTTTCCTGTTATTCTTCAAAATTTTCTGATAGCACAGTGCCGAGGGAGTTGCGCTCTTTAGATTTACAGAAAAATGCTCATTGTTTCTAAAACCGCGTAAGCAAAAAAAAAAACAAATTCAATGTTTATATTTAGTCCCAGTTCCACTTCTAATTTTCAACATTAATGTTATAATTATTATTTATAAATAAATTGAAAAGTTAATTCTGGCGCATAAGTAAAGGAGTACCGACTACTAAGGTTTCTTTATTGTAGGCATGTGTGTGGCCCCCATTGCCAGACGTATTTATGTATGTACATATGTATGTAAACGCAAAATGTTTAACGAAATTGGTTCGCGCACAACAATTTAAACGATTTGAATAAACAATTTCAGCACGCTTTGACAGTCGCTTACATAATGCAGACTTACGAGCTGTATAATTTGTTGATTTCGGAAATTTGTACGCGTCAATACGAACGAAAAAAAAAAATCATTCATAGGTGCTGATTTATAAGCGCTTGGCATTTGTAACGCATATAAAAAGAGGCAACGACAACAAATAAAGATTCGATTTCCTTTAAAATTACCTTCAGGTAGTGTTAATTGTTGCCCATTACTTGCAATTCGCAATAGTAGTTGAGCCAACTTATCTAATCTGTTGGCCGAGCAACGACGCAGATTGTGTTTTGAAACCGAGTCATTAATACTAGACTGAAGATGATTGTAAGGTTGTAGAAGATAGAAGATGATAAGCAGGCAGGGCTTATTCTTCGAATTTTCCATTATTCCTTAATAAATCTTAGGTAGACATAGAATATGGTTGCAAGGAAATCAAAACAGATAGCAGATGATATTGATAGGGTGTTGTAAAAGATTATGTAAAAACCTCAAAGCGTATACGTATTTAGGAAAATCGCAGAATTTTAGAGAACTTCACATCATTAGAAACCAATCAAAAAAGATTAAGATCCCCTTTCTATAAAGGAAATAATATTTAATATACATCTTTTAATATAAATTATTAGAATGTTAAAAATTGTATATTATCTTTATATTTTCCACCTAATTGTTGTTTTCAAATAAATTAAACCTTTAAAAAACTGAATGGAATGGTTAGATAATAGCCATATAGATTTGTATAGCAAATTATGGCAATAATCATTATGTTCGATCTCTGATTGCAGTGTCTTTATGACCTTGTATATGCTTGCTTTTGTTTTTAGTGGTTGCTCTTCGAATTTGAAATCTTGAGACGTGCGCCATAGTTTGGGGGCAAGTTGATAACCTCAGATAACATTTGAACATTTCTTATATTGTATTTATATTATTTTTCACAATCCATGAATTCAATGCAAAATATGAACGAAACCAGACGTAGATAGTGTGAACTTTGTGCCTCGAAGCAAAAATTTAAATCTTTTTTAGAGGTATGCACGCTTTTTAAATATTATAGGTACTTAAATAATAACAACAACAATAAGAACTGCTTTTTGTTTTTCAGTAAATACGTAATTATATTAAAAGCTGCCACATGAAAAAAAGGTCATTAAAGTGCATTTCATTATTTGTGATTCATGTAAAAAATAACAAGTTCTGAAGCAACGACAACTACCCAGCTGCCCTACGATGTAAAATTCCGTAAATTTCAAAAATAAGTACCTCCAGCAGGCTAAATATGTTTGCTTCGTACTTTTCAGTTAGGTTCGATTTTTAAACTGGAATTCAAAGATTCCCTACCATTTCTTTGATATGTGACATATTGAAATTTTTAAGCTTGCTTCCATTTCCGAGTACGATCCACCTATTATGAATCGGAATCCGAGATAAGATTGGGTGATTCGGTTTCAAAAGTGTTTCACTTTTATTCTTCAAGATTTTGAAAAACAACCTTTTTCGATATCGCATATTTTGGGATATTTCGCAAGCAAAAAAAAGTGTGATGTTATTTACATCTGGAGAAATAAACGATTTTTTAACGATTTATAGTAGTTCAAATATTCTTTGAATTTGGGAAGGTCAGACTAATATAGTAATTTATAGATGTGAAAGCTAGGTAATCATTTGATTCGATTTGAGATTTAATACATTTCGACTAATTCTTTGAATTTCTACCACTGTGCAAGCTGTTGATAAATAAAATATCGCAAATATCGACATTACAACTGATTTCGAGAGCCCTACCGCACTTTTAATGTTTGATTTCAATCAAGCACGATTGTTTACATATATATATGTAGATATATATGCATATAGTTCTGCCATATATATATATATGTATGTACAATATACAAGTACGAATGTAGCTTGGAAAATATTTCGATTGCTAATTAATTATATACGCACGTCAATCGCCCGAAGCACTCTGTGAAAAGGCGGGCTGTGAGAACTTTTACACAAACACACTCTCACACCCAGACCCACAATTTTTGTTTGCTTTCTGGCCTACACGGGGCTCATATAGTAAGTGTCTATATATGTATGTAGATAAATCTATATATACTCGTACATTAGCAGGTATAGTTAGTTGGGTAGGGCCTCTAGCCAATATTTATTCAGAAATTTGTTGTCATGCGAATATTATGGAAATGATGGGCCGGTGCTGTATAGTCGAAGCTTCACTGTATCAGTAAGTCAGGGCCGATTGTCTGTGCTGGTTGGTACTGTTTATATGCATTTTGAAGTGCCTTGACATTGACCCAACCCGACCAAACCAAAGCAGACCAGGCCAGCAGCATAAGACCTAGAGAGCAGTGCTGCTCAAACTGTAATTTATTATCTCTTTTGGTTTTGTTTAGCTTGCTCTTGAAAATGCTTCAAAGCATGCAAATTGCGGCCTTTTGCTAATTCGAAGTGCAGCAGAAGCTGAAGTTCATTCAAAGCATAGACAACTTGCCCTTGAGCCTAGCCCGAACGCCAACATTAAAGCCATTCCCCAATCCCCATTCCTGATGCTCCCAAAATGTTGAACATCTGTTTCGCAAATCGCGTGCGCAGTAAGGCGCCAAAGTGGGCGTTTAGAAGGGTACAGTGGGACTGGGGTAATGGAGGGTCATACGTTTCGTAACCAACATGGGGAAATAAAATCGATAAGTTGTCCTTTAATACAAGTATACGCGCGTGAACGATTAACTGTCTGTGTCTGTGTGTGTGTCAACTTTTGTTTTCATGCGACCTACGCAATGTGAAAAGCTGTTGTGTACTATATTCGTGTAGATATGCATGTATGTACATGCATATGTATGTACAAAGATAATTTACTTACCAGTAATAGGCTATGGAATCGCCCAGGCCATTGCGCACGTTGCGATCTAAGAGATTATAGCAGATGTTGGTCGAGGCGCCCTCCATCCATTTGATTGAGATGGGTCCTTTGGAAATGTTGAAGTTATATTGCAAAAATTTCTCCTGATCGGCAGGCGTTTCCCAATGAAACTGCTTGGCTACTCGCGACCAGAATTCCGCAGGATTGTCTATGGACTCGCGATAAAATTTCTGATATTCCTCGAAACTGGATATGTAAGCATTCCGACTGATTTCCGGATTGGGTTCGTATATTGATTTTTCCGCTGGCATTTTGTGTGCTTTCTTTTTAAACTATTTGTATTATTTTTTACAATTATCCTTAAAATTTAGTTAGTGTAAATCCCTCTTCTCCTAGTGTTATCCTTGGTCATGGAAATTTGCTTTATACTATATATGTATGTTTGTTTGTGTGTTAGTGTCTGTATTATTCACTAGTTTTGGGCAGCGAGCTCCGCCGCTTTTTGTACCGCACGAAATGAGTTCAACTCGAGCACTAAATATTCCGTTCGTTCGCTTCTAAACTTTTCGCATTCGCGTAGCAGAGCTTTTGATGTAAAGCTCGCGAACAACTGTTTCTGCACTCTACATTTCAGCCAGGGTGACAGTTATACTGCAAATCAGCACCAGTGTCGTCAATGCTTGTCCCAAATAGCAAGAGCAACAATATAAACAAGCTAGAAATAGCTAAACAAATTAAAAAACTATGCTCTCCATCTCTGCAAACTCTTCAATTTCATTGGTGTACAAGAATATAGCTCCAATAGATTTTAGGTTGATTTAAGGGACTCCTAGTTTATATAAATATATTTATATACCAAGAACCCCAAACATTGTATTATATTTATGTGTTACGTTATGAAAGTCGAAATTAATATAATAAGCAAAAATTATGTTCAGATAAGACTCGATCTTTCTTCTATCAAATACAAAAAAAAAACCTAAACGACACGATCACAAACAAATACTACCGACATAAAACACAATTCTATCAGATCTAAGTTAATGCTAATCCATGTAAATATGCTTAGATCGCTAGAGTTTTGTTGTTAGTCGCTTTGTGAAGAAGCCAAATTATAATAGTTTTCCGCAATCGGCATTTGAAAAACTGTAGAACTGGCGGTAAAATAGCTAAATTAGCAACACTGATCGCATCCAATGGGCTGTTTGAACCCAAACTCGGACTTATCTCTCTGTAAAATTCCAGCTTATCTCAACACGAGCTACTCGTAAGCTAATCACCTGATGAAGCGTCGTGTGCCGTCTAGGCAACAATTTTTTTCGACGTCGACAATTTCGAACCACGCTGCCAACTGCTGGTGCTGATCTTTGGAATAAGGCTCGGGCTGAGGCTCAGAGACAACCAACTGCCTTGATAAGCAACATACCAATACTATATACTAGGTGTGTATGTTTGTGTGTGGTGTATTATTAAGAGCATCGAGCGCTCTTAAATTTCCCGCCTTATCGCAACGTACATTTCGTGGGGGAGCAGCAGACTGGGGTCATCAATAGTGTCAATGTCGGTTTGGTACGTTTAAAAATAATGCTGGTCCTCTCTATATGTATGTACGTAGTTTATTCTTAAAGCGTAGCGAACGAAATTCAAATGCGACAACAACAATGCGTATAGGATGATGAGTAGAATGGGTAGTGTTGAGTGTTTTTAAGTGTGTGCTTGAAGCAGGAACTAGCTGGTTAGCTCCATTCCTGTTTAGTGGTCAGTGCTGGTGGTCAGGTACGTTTTGTATTGCTCCTCAGTCATGAGTTTCTCGACTTCATCGGGATTTTTTAGTGAGACTTTAAAGAGCCAACCTGTAACGCACACAAAGATTAGTTTCAAGTTTGCAATCATATGGGAGTCGGGTTTACCCTTTTCATAGCAGCTGGTATTAACCAAGGCCGGGGTATCCTCTACCAGATTGTTCTTCTCAGTGACCTTGCCACTAACTGGTGAATATACCTCGCTGGCTGCCTTCACACTCTCCAGAGCACCGCACTCATCGTCCTGCTTCAGCTCTGTGCCAACGTCCGGCAATTGGGCGAACACAACATCTCCCAAAGCCTCTTGGGCATAGCTGGAAATGCCTACGATGGCTGTGTTATTGGTCACTAGCTCGACCCATTCATGCTTATCGGTGTAGCGGCGCTCTGCAAATATTTATTTTTGTCTATGAAAAGAACAACGTATTAGGCGCAACAGTTTAGGTTGCACTGCCAATGCAGTTGTACCCAAACTGCGGCCGATTGCATAAATTGCTCCACTTACCGGCATCGAGAAAGCTGCTCACATGAATGCTACGCCACTGAGGCGTAGCGAGGGGCGCAGCACGCAATTGGCGGGCTGCTTGTATGCCGAATCGTGCAAATTTAGTTAGAAATACCATTTTATTGCCTGTATTTATTTTAACCTTCAAATCGGAGAGTTTTCAAAATTGACCGGCAGCGCCGCCTTGTGTTTCCGTGCACGTCTCAAATACGAATGAGACAAATTTTTCAACGCGTACTATGTTTAACGCCCGACTCAAAATATTCCAGATCGTATCAGCTCTGGCTCAGGTCGATCCCCAGCGGAGGCGGCTTATCATTTTGATAAAGTTGGCTAGAGCTAACTGCAAAGTGTGACCCCTCGCAACAAAGACAAAAAAATAACCATGAGCACCCTGTGCCATACATCAGATGGTTGTTTCTGTGTTTCAATTTCATAGCAATGAGCTATTAGCGCCTAAGAGCGCTGATTTGAATTTGAATTCAGATACATGCATATATTTTTACATATATTTAACTATATCATGTATCAGAGTGCACTCAATAAATCTGTCGTAATTTCCTGATTCCCAATGAACCTAATAAATATTTTGCTGGGGGTCCGTTTGTAAACAATAACAGCATCGTTTTGTGTTATCATCAAAATGTATATACGTTGTCTTTATCAGCATTTGCGTTCATTATAAAACAATTAAACGACATTCAGCTATTATTCTAATAATATAAGTGCATATTTCAGCGAATTGAATATGTCACAATTGAATTAGTATATTGTCGTTGGATAATATGGGTATGCCAGATTGCTATTTAAGACTTAATTTTGTTTTTGTCGATCATTTCTACATAGCTGCTTCTGCAGTGAAAATTGTTATGTTAAATAAAAATCAGGTCAGTTTAAACAACTTTGTATTACAGTCGGCTGGAGGAACCATTTTCGTTGCAGCAATAATAAACACCAATGTTTATGTTCTCATTCCATGCACACTGATCGGAACTGAGACAATATTTGTAAAGGTTTCTCCCTAAAAGCAGATGAGAACATAGGAAGGCTCTTGAATTAGAATTCGTAAGCAATATGTGCGATTCTGATTCATTGTCTAGCGCACATCTTTAATTCAAAAACGACTTGAAACGAATATCTTTAAACGCCTAGGAATAATGCTTTTATCGTAATTTGCTGATTCCCTTATTGTCGACAAGAAAAGCAACAACAACAACGAGACTGCCGCACTATCAGAGAAAAATATATAACTCAAGCATTTGAAAATAAACAATTTTGATTCCACTGGCTATGCAATGAATTGTAATTGTATCTTATAATTACACATTTATTTTGTTTTAAGCTTGGAAATAAGTTAGAAACACTATTTGCGATGATAAGGTCCACGAGGGAAACACAATTTCAACTAATTTGTTGCTGCTGAACTTTAAAATGGATATTTTTGGTATTACTGGTTGCGTAACTATTGAGAATTATTATATATACAAGTGACTTAACGATGGCGCCAGTAAGTTCAGTTTGCCTAATACTGATTATTGCGCATAATACCATTCGAATGGGGCTGTGGCGAATAGTCGGGGACGGGGAAGCCCGCCGTGGCCACAACTACGGTATCCTGGTTTTGTGGCCGGGATGTTGGATTGGATTGCGGATTGGCTGGTGGATACTGCTGGAAGGCGTCAAGGCTGCGGAAACGACGATCCAAGAGATTGGCATCATTGGACATGCGAGCGGCGCGAAGAATGGCCTCCTCATTTACTTCAATGGTCTCGGCCATCGATGGGGAGTCCGGGGCAAAGCCAGGATTGCTAAACGCCTGCACTACCACTCTGAATAAAGTGGAAGCGATAATATAATTAGAATGGCAATAGTGTTTCAATAAATCAATAAATTCATAAATATTAAAAGCTTTTTCAATATTTTACTTTTATAAGAAAAAATCGAACCCCATGACAGACCCCTTATTTAAGTTACATACAAATTTGTGTACCATATGTACAAAGCAATATAGACATGTCCTTCTCTTCGCCCAAGAACTGCTGGTTACTTCAAACTTGGTAGGCAGACCTGTCTTGTCCAAACGCTATTTAAACTATATCCCAACAAAATTTGGTAGTTAGCTGTTTTTAATAGTGCCTTGTGATATTCTGATTGCTACCATGAACAATTAATTTAAATTTTAAAATAAATTAAATTTAAATTTAAAAGTTGCCATTTAGCAGCTTTTTAATGCCTTGTGATGTTCAGATTCAATTAAAATTGGTTAACTATATCATATAGCTGCCACAGGAACGATTGGTTCAAAAACAAGCTAATAACCAAATCGGAAATTTATGAGTATTTATTTATTCATTCACTATATAATCTAAAATTGTATCAAACTGGCCGTTTGGGGTATTCAAGAGTCGGTCTGACACGACCATGTCGCTCTACTTGTTTTTACTAACTTGAATTAATTAGTTACTGATTTAATTGTACTATATTTAATTTTAATTTGAAATAATAATTTCACTTAATAATCCATTAACATTGTTCGGCTAACTTGAAACCCAGCAGAAAGGAATATAAATTTTACTGCCTATTTATTTTTTGGTCAATATATATGTAGCATGTACTTTGATTTAATGTTATACATTTTACTTCTTTAAGTGAAAGCTATTTTCAGAGATCTAGTTCATAGATTCGTTAGATATATAGACATACTTGTATTACACATATACTCACTTTTCTTCCTCGTAGGCGCGAATTGGCGGTCTGGTGGCCAGAATGTCATCTGAATCCTTGCGTGGCATGAACAGCGTGTCCTGTAAATATGAATAATGGAGGCAATAGCGTCAGCATAATTGAACGAGCATTGCCATAAATGTTTCAGCACCTGAACAAATCAGCCACAATAACAACAACAAATAGAGCTAACTTTTATCTCTGCCACTAAACAATTTATGAATTTTCATTCACGGCACTGACTGGCAATTCGGTTCGAACGCCCCTAGGCTTATCAGCTCTATGTACTAGTCAATACATGTGTTTTTTTTTTAGACATGTCGTCGTTTATTCGCAAGCAAATTTCATTTATATTTGTTGTTGAAATATTTTCGGCAACTACTCGCACCTTAGTCGTACTCATCGCTTTTAGCAAGGGCTTAGGTGCCTGACAACTGCCTGCCCTCTACTTATGTTTTATAATTAAGTTGATGATGATGATGATGAACTCACCGATCTGTCCTTATCGCTGACAATGCGATATGCCTGAACCGCCATCCAGACTAACAATTTAAGGTTAATGATCCACAGGACGAACCCTTTGAAGGAGATGATCATCATGGAAATAGATGCCACAGTAGCAGCAACCAATTGGGCTGCATTCGGATATATTTCTCCTGCATTGATTGAATTAAAGTTGTAATCGAGGGCTTTTTTAGCGTATTCTGAGTAGTCGACGCCGAAAATCACACCCAAAGCCACATCCATGGCACAAATCGAGGCCATAAAGAAAATCCAAGTGTAAATGACTCCCAGGGTTTGTTTAACATTCTCCTTGTTGAGGTCTGAAATGATCCGAATCATATTAAAAATAGTCATATTAACAAGTGGAATCTTAAGTTATAAAATAAATTTTACTATTCCCATCGTGCCTATATAAGTTATATGATGCACCCATTTCTATTTAACTTCAGACTATTTATGAAGCATCAATACTATACAAACCGAGAAATAGTTTAGTTACAATAGGTACAAGATCTGGTGGTCCGGTTTCAATCAAAATTTGAAATACAAACATTAGTGGTAAAGTGAATTATAAATAAAGTTCCATATACGCAGTAGTTTGCCAATTGGAAAAATTATGCGTTGACCTTGATTTCGATTGCTGTTTTGCCTCTCATTTATAAATTCATGTTAAACTTTAACGTGCGACTTTACATATATTTTATTTCCGTAGTTAGTAACAAAGCCATCGAAATTACTTGTCAAATAACAGGTTAGTAGTTTTCAATGTGATTCCCCACTCCTGTATATTTTCTGAAATCCAACACAATAATTCTACAAGCACTAGTAGAGTCCCCCCGAACATAACAGTACTCTAGAACTCTTCCTAACATTTTTAATTGGAAGCAGAGAATACTAGTCTTAGGACTTTAAACTCACACTCGAACCACAAAGCACTGGTGTAGTTAATGAAATTATATCTAGAGATAAACAAATAAATACCTATCGATCATGTTGATATCTTAAGTTAATACTCACAAGTTTTAGGCAATACAAGTAGGGTGTACTTCATCAAAGTAGCATTGAAAATGTCAAAATTTAACAATAAGGAAAGAAAAATCGCTGCTGCTTAAAATATTTTTAGTTTGGCGAGATTATTAGGGACTTTTTTAATCAATGGAATGTACTTAAGCTCACATGTCGCTTTGTTATTGCACAATCTGCTCATATAAAAGTATAAACAAACTTATCTAGCTTTACTATTGATATAACACTTTTCTGTTACAACTGTTTTCAAAACTTTTATGACAATTTCCGCTGACAAAGGACACATATTTGAAGTCCAAAAGCTCTATAAATGGTTATATTTTTTATCAATGTGGAATGATAATGCTGTTGAAGTTTTCGGTAGATACGTTCATCGCTGATATAATTATTTCACATTTTTATATGATTCATAAATAATTTTTTAGCGTTGATACACATTTCTAAATGCTTAGTAAGCAGTGTGCAAATACTACTGTCGTCATTTTTTTAAATAATAAAAAATACAATTGCTTTACTCACATGTCAGGAGCACCACAGACGACAGAAGCCAACAAACGGCAAAGCCCAGATAAACACAGACCCATATCAGCACTTGGTCGGGATCCAGCACCGTCTCCACGGAGTTAAGAAAGCTGCGATCATACTGTTGGTAATCTCCAACCGACATTTGGCAGTGGCCGTGGAAGTACATGTCGAACCACACGGTCTTGATGAGGGTTCCATAGCTCAGAAAATCTGTCACAGGTACGATGCAGTTGTAGGCAAGAATACCCACAAGAGTCAGACCTATCCAGATAAGTGATTGAAACTGCAATGAAAATTAAATGCGCGCGAGACAAAGAAAAAGATGAAAACAAAAATTTATTAACTAATTTAAAAAACTCTCTGATCCTTTTAGCACATTGTTTCGATTCGATTTCGATTTCGAGGGAAGTAAGTCATATAATTTTATTAAAAGCTATTACGAACGCTTCCTACTTCGATGAAAAGAAATTGGCTATTGGTTAGTCCGAAAAATAGACCGGAAAACAGATAGTAGAAATTATTGTATTTGTATTTTATTATTTTTTTCCTATTCCGATTAAAAGTTCAATCCCTAATCGTAATTATATGTATCTGGTTATGTTTTATTCCATTGAGAAAGCTATATGGATTTAAAAATCAGTCAACCATCCTGGATAGATACACCATATTTTGGAATCAACTGTCTATGTCAAACTTTCCTCTCAATTTTGCAGTAATGTTAAAAATTTATCTAAAAATCAGCAAAATAGCTTCTGATTAAAAATTATCCAGAATTGCGCATTCAGTCGTCCCTCAGGCACTATAAAAATCGACATAAGAATAGAGTTCAAAAGACTGGATAACGCGTTGTGTATTGCTTGCGATGAAAATTACTTTTGGAAAAACAAAAAATTGATATCGATAAATTTTCGAACCGCTTTCGTCTTATTGATAAGGCGAGAAGGAAGAATGTTCTAGAAGAAAGTTCACTGTGTGAGCTGACATGTAATTTAAATTGCACGAAATGTAATTAAGTTTGCTTCATAAAGGGAGTTTTTTATGAAAATAAAAACCATAGAATTAAAATATTCCTCAATGAAAATATCGATAATTTTTTTAGATTCTTCATACCATGTATTTAGCTTGATTCAGCTGCTAACTGCTATCACGTAGTTATGTGTTTTAAGTACAGTATAAATAGTATTGTATAAATAGCTTATTGTTTGCTTGATTTATGCTTTAAGAAACTAAACTAATCTGAGGAAAAAAGCCGAGAATACCTGCGATGACATCACATTTTCTGCATCTACCAACAAACATATTTTTCTTGGCCGACTTGTAAAGCGGCGTATAAAGTCGATAATAAAATTTATATTAGATGCATGTCAGTGCACTTTATCTTGTTTCTTTTGCGGTTGATTTAATGATTCAGCTTTTGTTCTTTAGCAGACGTTGACACTGGCAATGGGTATATGTATAGTATAGTATATACAAGTACATATATCGACCGACCTGCGCAAACTCTGATTGATTAAGTTGCGCAGCTGATCAAATTGCCTGGGTGTGATGGCTGATAAGTATAGGTTGTCAGTTTGGGTTTCGAGTCCATTTCAATAGACCTAATTGCCCGAACAAGGCCAACAACAGAACATCAATGGGTGTCGTCTTTATCAATTGGGTCGTTTATTATGTTGCAAGGTGTACTCATACTCGAATTTTATGAAACGATATATTTACAATATGCAAACATAGTACGAGCAGGTTGCCTTTTACATACCACACTCAGCCAACCGGCCCATAATGCTGCCAATTTTAGAGCTTCAAAATGTTTAATAGTTGTCGTTATCCCGTACATTTTGCAAACGTTTTTTTTTTTTTCGTTCGACGCGCGTTCCACTCGAACGCGTTGAGTACACGCGAAGTCCGTTAAAAAACTAAACGAAACGGACACTAATTTGTTTTTGCTATTCGAACGCTCGTCGTAACATGTGCGCAATTAATTTTGCGCTTTTCTGATTTGCCTTTGCAACTCGTTTATTTCCCGATAATTATGCGATAATAAGTAGAACAAAGTAACAACAATGCGGGGTTCAAGAAATACCCAGTGAAAAATTACCAGTGCTCTCTTTTTTTTATTTTACAATAACAATAAGTTCGAATACTTTTTCACTGATATGGGCTTCGAGGTTCGTTTTCGTTTTGCTTTTTCAGTTCTTGGTCTAAACTGAGCGGCCCGTCGGAAAAATACGTCTTGATGGCCGAGCGCGTCGTTAACAAATACCAAAACTTTACTGGCACTCGTCCCGTCAGTTGTTCGTATTATATTATCGGGTGAACTGATAAGCAGAGTTACCAATGTGTATTGCCAAAGTTTTTGTGGCACTGCGAGCCTCAATCTATTCTTTTTAGTGGCCGCTGCGAAGTAAGCGACGGACTAACACAATTAAAGCCACGAAAACAAAAAAAAGAGTCACACACAAAAACACTCTAATATCTAATCAATGGACATTTTATACACATTAGTGATGTATTTTAGTTATTATCTCGATCCCAATATCGGTATGATGCTTACTCCATCGCTCAGGCCTGCAACGGACGCGGTGTTGGTAATTGGTAATGTGAAATGAAAAGAGATTCAAAATTCGCGCCATGCACCACCTAGCGGCACATTTTGTCAATGCATGACAAGCCAGATACATGATAAGAATAATTAATAAAGTACTCAACAATTAATTAACACGCATTTAACAAAGCATTGTTGAAGTTAATAAGCACATCAAATGTATTAAGCCTATTTGAATGAGTAACGGATGGTTAATTTAAATTATTTGAGCCCGCTTAATGCTTGACGCAACGCTGACGCCAACAGATGCAGCAGACTGAACGTTGTAGTACTACATAAAGCCGCCATTTTGTGTATTTATTAGAACGAGACAAACATATAGGCATAGAGCAGCACAAATCTATAGAATGCGTGTTTAACCCTAAAAAATACAGCCGTGCCGAGACTTTAGTACAGTCGAAGTGACGCTGCGGCTATAATTTCATATTTTATGCTGCTTGCGGTAAATTAAACTAAACAATCTGCGCTTAAATACCACAAAGAGTACTGTCAACTTATTTGCAACTAGACAAGAACAACACTGGAATTGGTGGCCATTGCATGCATACACAAAAAAAGTTGGACGGAATAAAAAAAAACGCAAAGAAGTCAGTGCTCGCACCCGTGCTCGCTCCCGCATCTCGCCCTTCACTTCGTAATCGTCGCCGCGGTCGTTGCGCATGCTGCAGCAGCATCGCATTGAATTAAACTATAACGAAAAGGAACGAAACTATAGACCCGACATAGCCATAGATATCACACATACACATTACGATGAACGCCCAGCTGAGTACGACAACCTATCGCAAATTTAATAATTTGCTCAACAGCGGCGCCGTGACCGTCACAGGTCCCGGTCAGCCCCGCATTCTAAAAACCACTCGACTGGTTATGCCCAACGCCCAAGGCGGCGGCTCTAATGTGGCTGGAGCGCTGACACAACAACTTGGCTCGGATTCGGAACTTGGCGCTTCAGCCGGTGGCACACGTTGCTACATTTGCGACGAGCTAGTGGCCTCCAGCCAGGTACAGAATCAGCTCACGGAAATGACCACCACGCACACCACAACTAAGTTTCCCAACAAGCTGGCGCAGCTGGTGGGCGAGGGATTTGTTGTGATTGTGAGCACCGAGGATTTTGTTTGTTCGCGTTGCACCAACCTGGTCAACTATTTTGATCGTCTCGAGAACGATGTAGAGCGCGTCAAGGCGAATCTATTGAATTTGCTAAATAAAAAGTATGGCATCAACGAGGATAGTGGTGGCGGCGAATCCAGTCCGCCATTGAAGATGCAGAAACTGGTCAGTGGAGCCAATCGCTCGATGGAGGAGTCTACAGGCGCTGATTTGCTACGCACGCGCAAGGTAGTTCAGCAACCCTCACCAGGTGAGAAAATGCAATCAATTATACGAAGAACGTAAATTATAGGTCCATATTGAGAAAAATTGAGTAGTTTCAAAGCGAAAATTGAACACAGACTTCAAGATGCCATTTATCCTTCGTTTCCGGTACAGTTTTAAGATTTTTTTAGGGAATACACCCATTATTAATAGGCTTCGTAATCACTAAATATAGACTCAAGATTTACGATCTTTGTATAACATTAAAATTGAACAATTGCTAATATTTATTACGATCTTCTTTGTGTGTTTGAAACAGGCTCTGTACAGCAGCTGAAAATCTCCACCTCGCCACAAAGCGCCGCCGCTGGCACACAGACAGTGCAACGAAAAGCCACAAAGATTTACAAGTGCACCTCATGCGATTACAAGACCTCTGACATGCGTCTCTTCAACACCCACTACGAAACCTGCAAACAGCAGACGTTCCAATGTAAAACTTGTCGCAAGATCTTCCCCCACTTTGGCGCCATGAAGCAGCACATGGTGCGGGATCATAACACCGCGATGGATAACACATGCGCCATGTGCCACATTAACTTCGTCAATGAGTTGTCGTTGCGCAAACACATGGAGGCGAATCATGCTACCAATGTGTTGGTAACTAGCACCACCACAATACCAGCTAATGCGGCCGCACCCGCTGTTGTGGATACTTCGGGATTGGCGGCTGGCTCTGCCCTTTATACATGCAACCACTGTCAATTCAAATCAACGGACAAGGGTGTCTTTGATGACCATATGCGCAAGCATGTTTCTGGCAAACCAAAGCCTTTCAAGTGCCGTCTGTGCTCACAGAGATTCGAGACGCGTGAAGCGGCCACTGTGCATGCTAAACAGCATCAGACCAATTATTTCAAGTGCGGTACTTGCGCCATGACCTTCCCTAAGCGTGAGCTGCTCGTCAAGCACTTCGAGGTGCACCAAACTGGCAGTGGTTCCGGCGCTGTATCTCCAGGAGGAGGCCAGAGCAAGTTGCAAACAGCGTCCAGTACGCAGAATTTCAACACGCAGAAACTGCTGCAAGAAACAATTGATGAGGCATTAAGCGATACAGTGCCACAGACCGGAGCGGCAGCTGCTGCTGTGGTTGCTGCCACTGCCGAAGCTGCAGAGAATAATATACGTTTCTTCTCGTGCAGCATCTGCTCATTGACATTCATTCAGGAAACATACTACAATCACCATATGGAGACCCATCGTCGGGACAAGAAGGGCGGAGCAGCTGTCGCCCCAACTGTCCTGAACTCGGCCGCCACTGCACTACTCAGTGATGATGCCGGCGATGCGGGCGGTAAGGCTGGCGATGATGGTGGCGAACAAAGTGCCGAGGCCGACATTGAGAGTCTCTTTGAAAAGTTGCACTCCGAAAAAACTGACAATGGCGATACCACGAAAACTACGAACAGCAAAAGCGGTGAAATGGTTATCACTTCGCAGCAGGGCAGTGGTGGCATTACATTTAATATAACCATACCCCAACCGGACGCATCTGGGGAGCAGGCAGAGAAGGGCGCAGAGGGCGTCTCAGCTCCAGTTTCGGTAAGCATTGACATGCCTGTCTTGGATCAGGCCGATGACGAGTCGCAGTCTCAGGCAAGCACTGAAGGCAAGACTGGCGAGGCCGCTGATTCTGCTGCGGACACCAAATCCACGGCAGCACCAGTATCTATGCCCAGTCTAGATGATGATAACGAAGCCACAGCCAGCACAGAAACGGATAGCAAGACAGCGAACAGCAAATCCGGTGAAAAATCCGATGACAAGGCCGATCAGCAAGGCGAGCAAGAGGCCACAACAGCTACAGAAACTGCAGGTACTGTTGCAGAGGAGGGCGATGATGGCGAGAAGCGCGATGTTACCGACACACCCACAACTGAACCGGACGCCGCAGCCTCCGCCGAGGCTAGTGAATCCGCCGATGGCGAGGCCAACGCCGTTGCTGCCGAAGGTGAAGGCGGCGAAGCTGCTGCCGGCGATCAACAAGTTGCCATGGAACTAGACGAGGCCATGCAGGCGCAAGTGGAGGGCGGGCAAATCAAGTTCATCATGAACGAGAATGGACATTTGCTGCAGCTGGATAACCACATATTGACCGATTCCGAGGGCAATCAGATCATTGTGCAAGATCCCGAGCAAATTCAGCAGCTGCTCCAAAGCGTAGGTGTTCTTCAATCCGGCGAGGGTCTCGAGGGCGAGACATTGCAAATGATGACCGATGCTAGTGGCCAGATGGTGCTCGTCCATGGCGACAACAATGAGCAACAGCTAATCGATGCCTCATTAATCAACGCAGACGGTCAGTTGATCATTCAACAGGGACAGGATGGTGAAGAGGGACCTCATGTTATTAGCGAGGATGGTACACGCATACCCGTCTCAGTCTCCTACACCGAAGATGGCCAGCCTATTGTTCAAGTTCAGCAGCAGGTCTTAGAAGCAGCCACAGCTGCTGCCGGCTCAGCCGAAGAGAAGGATGAAGCAGCAGATGTTGCTGCCGCTGCTGGTGAGGAAGCGCAAGCGACAGAGGACGGTGTCACGGTGGCCACCAGCACGGCTAGCAGTAGTGGTACGGCAGCCAGCAATTTCTTTGCGCTGGAGGAGTTCACGGAGGCGAAAACCGATTAGGAGTGGCTCTAGGGGCAGGGCCGTGAACATTACACGATACTAGCATACGATGATGACTGGTAAGTCAACTCATTCTGTACGGTTTTCTGTGCCGATTGTAAAAACTCGGAGGTTGGCTTATTAGGGATATTAGTAAAAGGTTTATTCCTAAGCAAAAGTTTACTTCTGAACGATTGGCCTAAAAATCGGGTTATCTATGATTTCTTGAACTTATAATTAATTTTCCTTGCTTTTTTACTTGAAAATAAAAGATATAAAAATAAGTTAAAATATATTAATACATATAGATCTGTTCTGAAATTCCATCAACATTTCTTCAATTCGATTTGCGAAAATCTCAAACTTTTAGAAAATAGGTGAATTTCTTCAAATCGATTTCAGGCGAGACAAATCAAATCAATTCCAGAAAATGTCTCAAACAATCTGTAAACTTAGCCACATAAAATGCGTAGGCTTTTAAATTTGAGTATAAAATAAATGCTTATTATTAATTAGCATGGTATTAATAAAGAAATACAATTAATTTTTTTTATAAAAATTAAAATTGCGAGCCATCCTGAAAATTAATTAATTTGTACTGCACATTTGATATACAAATCTAATTTATGCTATTTTTGTTACTTTCAGGTTTTAACAGATCTACTCGCTATGAGCGATTTTTGCTTACATCTCAACATTCGCTGCTGCGAATTATTCGGAGGAACTTTCATCGCAATCGCTTGATGTGAAAGAAAAATATACATATACGACAAACACGCATTTTTGTAACCAACACCAGCAACCTTATGTTCTACACGATCACACACACCCACGTACCCATGGATACCTTAACACTACATGCAAACATACTCGTACATACATATTTTATACACCATTAGTATATGTATATTTACACTCCAGTAAACTCAAAATTTCTTCTTTGCCCTTTGCGGCAAATTTTCAATCATTCTTCTAATTGCATATTGCTGCTCTCCAATTGACGATCGCGCGATGGTGTCAATGTGGTTGGATGCGAGGCAGACACCATCCGACAGTGTCTAATTGAATCGATGGTGACAATGCGTCGGTTGGTTGAAGGTGTTAGGTTTAGTTTTTAGCATAGTTAAAGAAAAAACAAAACACACATCAAACTGTAAAAATGAGAAATGTCGCGATTGGTCATGCGACAATGATTGAATTAAAAGCATTAATCGTACATAAAATAAATTTACACTAAATAAAATGTAATGACAAAACAAATACAAAACCTTAAGAGAAGCACGATCAGTCGGAAATTATTTTTCATTGGTTGGGATCAGCAGCGTAGGAGCATCTTCCCAAGCATCGTGCTCCCCAATCCCTTCCCCCACCACAAACATTTGCACACATACCACACACAAGCATAATTACTGTTTAAGAAGAAAACTTCATGTATTTTTGATGTTCAGAATAATTGATAAATCTGATAAATGTAACTAATCTGAATGTATTTGAGCAAAGGCCAACAAAACTCGAACACTTACTAAACAACAAGCCAGGGGCATGCTACAGATCTAGCTTTACAGATAAGTATACATATATAGTACATGACAAGCTACTTGAAATACAAGTACGTACATATTACATACTATATATGTACATATGTGTTTCTATGTATGCCCAATGTACCAGACAATGTGCTGGTTTCGTATTTTCTGTATGTGTGGTGGTGTGTGTATGATTTATGTGTTGTTGAATACACTCGGCATGTAAATTATTTGAGATAGATATCGACAAGCTGTCGCCACTGTTTTATTTTTATCAACAAGTCTCCGAACCTAAATCTGTGTACAATAAGTGCCCAGAAGTGTGTTAACAACCCGAACGCTAGCGCAACAAATCGAAATCGGACATCTTGGTGCTGTGATATGATATGGGATCCATATTTCACTGAAACAATAGATTTTATGGTTCATCATTCAATCACCTTGTTAGGGTTGTATGTACCTCCGACTGCTGAAATCTTAGAAATATCTAGTAACAACTTTCAGATTTTTACAGCATATCCGCAATAGCCTATAATGCTTTATGTAATACATGTAATATATTGAACTATAAATCCTTTAGGCGCCTGGAAGTACATATTGCAATATAAAATTGAATATAAAGCCAAATGGAAGGCAAAGTTATCCATGTGGGTGTTCCTGCAATGCCTGAGGGTTTAGCTGTTCTTCCGCGGTTCCACGAAAATCTCACACCGTTTTTGTTGCTTGGAAACAGGTAAGTACCTAGATTTGTGGAAATACTGCTGTGTCGTCCCATAAAGAGATTAATTTTAACACCCAACATAAGTATTAAGGGTACTCCTAATTGCTGTGGTAGATTTCTGTGAAAACAAAACTTGGCTTGATTGCATTTAGAAACGACAGCTATATCGGAAATATTGATCATATCATTATCTGAGCTCTCTTTGGAAATTCTGTTTCAATATAGTTTTGATTTAGTTTTAAAGATCTTAAATATAAATATGTTACATACTTCTGCCAAAACGATTTCACCTTTTTTACATTACTGGCAATTCAAAATGAAATTCCTCTTAAATTTATTTTTGTGAAAGTAAAACTTACAAGTATTTTAAAAGTGATCTTTGATTCTGTTCGACACAATGTAGAGGAGGAACTATCGCTTAGGTAAATAAAAAAGATTCCCGAATTTGAAGCAAGTTTCTGGATGTAGAACATACATCAAGATATAGATTATTCCACATAGTTCCATTGAAAGCTGAAAGGCGGAAATAACTATTGGTTTCTGAAATCTTGCGCTCAGATAACCAAATATTTAACACGTACCTCTGATAATCTACAAATACTTAAGTGGCGATGACAAACAAAGTTCGGTTCGGTTCGATTCAGTTCTTTTTTTAGTCATAACCGTAAACGAAATTGCCAAATCGTTTGTGGGTATATAAAAATGTTTATTAATAAGCAATTTAAATAATTGTACTTTATTAACAAAATTAAAGCTTCGCTCTGACAAAATAATGTGTCGGCCGACCTATTAAGACATTATATATATGGACCACTTGGACAACATAAAAGGCATTTTACGAATGCCTGGGGCAAATAAATCACACCTTGGCATTTAAAATCGGATAAACCAGTGGCAAAAGCCGCTGTGGACGCGCACAGTAGAGCGTCCAACTGGAGCTCTGACAGACAACTGTGTCATTTGAATGCTGGCATGCTTAGCGAAAATTAGCTAATGCTGCCACAAAGTCAAATCTATATCTGTAGAACACGTTATGCATAACCATGAATTATGTATCTTCTCCGAATCGGTTCGATAGTCCCCTATTTATATCAATGCAAAATATTTCACTGAATAAACAATTGCTGGCAACAGGGTGAAAAAAATGAAAATATTATTATTTATTAAATTACGATTAGCTTTCATTCAAAGCCTTTATTTATGTGTTTATTAAGCGTTTTGTTGCCATTTTTTTTTTGTTATATGCGTAATAATTTAAACCAAAACAAAGTCAAAGAAATCTGTTGCCAGGTGCATGCCGGAAGAATCACCATTAATGGAGATAATGAGGAGGTGTGTTCCAATGGCGTGAGGCCAGCTACAGTAAAGTATGCCCATAACATATTCGTAAATAGGAAGTACATTATAAAAAATTGAAAGCTTTTGGGTGTTGACAAGCGAAAGGCTTTTAATTAATTACATTAAGCTCAGTTTGTAAATGTTCACCACAAGGTTGCTGCCTAAATCAAACATAGTGTTAGAAGAATATATATTTTATAATCTCCACTGACAAAAAATAACTCACATTTCTATACTACCTTAAAATAAACTTGAAAGCTAAGAAAGCCTTAAAAATAATCTAACAAAATTGCAATAAGGTCAATTAACGCTTCCGAAAGGGGAATTTTATTGGCCAGCCGCTCAGCTAGGCCCTGATTCACACCCAAATGTGGTTACAGATTTTCCCAAAGGCTGTTGTAAAGAACCGCATTTATAGAGTCAAGAGCGAGAGAGAGAGAGAGAGAGAGTAATTACGAAAGATTATTATAATTTGAACACACAGCCGAAAAGATCAATAAAAAATATTTCCTGGTTGGTCTACAAGGAAGAAAACTGGGCAGACGATTCTAAGAACATCTCCATCTATGGATGGATTTTGATTTGAGAGCAAAAGCCTGTTCAGATACCATAGCCAGCTATCAGTTCTCTGTTTCCAAATTCCAAAAATTCAAAAATATGATCAAATATCACTAACATAAAAAAAATTTCAGAAATTAATTTTATAAAATTTGTATATAAAGGCAGATTTACAAATACACTCCATATAAGTTATTCCTGCTTTCTACACATAGAATTAGTCAATTTCTTGAAGTGTATTTAGGTCTTAAGACCTAGTTATGCCACAATATTCGCCCACCTGCCCCATGCAAATGAGTTGAATGCAACGTTTATTGATTGAAAGCGAAAGCAACGTTGTTCTTAGCGACCGTGAAGCCAAAAGTGACCTTTGAATTAATTAAAATGAAAGAGTGGAGGGGAGCTGAGTTTGTTTTGGTGGTTGCGTGTGGTGCGATGTGCTGTGGTGCACGAAATGAGTCAACGGTTTTTAAATAGAAACTAAAATTTCATTATTATTACACTTTAAATTCGAACGGAACCAGTTTGTTGCATTCATTTCAAAACTTCTATCAGCCAGTACTTACTGTGCCTCGCACTGGCCACACGTTTTCGAGTTACTTGTTCGATGGCAGGTTTGTCTTTTATGGACACTCGCACACAGATATACTATATAGTTTATATTAGAACATGTGTATGGGTATTTTATTGCAAACATTAACGGTTCTTTATGCTTGTTTATAGCCTCGCCTTTCTCAATTTCAATGCTATAACTTTCTTTTTAATTGGACAGCCACTTGAATGCAATTGATAATGCCATTGATTTTTGGTACACATTTATTGATTGGTTTATTTTGGTGTAGGGTTTTAAAACTAAACAACAATTGTTTGGCCGTCTCTTTGTTGTTTCCGCTTCCATATTTGCATATAAATACGATTAACATTGATCTATTACTACGTTTAATCGAAGCACGAAATTCGTGAGTTTCCATGAAAATAAATTGGTGTGCTTTTGAAAAGTTAAATTGTTATACAGGCAATTATAAACGATTGTTGAATAGAAATGCTAGTTTGCCTGCAAGATTTGTCTTCCTTCGTCTATGATTGGTAACAAGAAGATAATATTTTTAAAACTGTATGCTACTTTTGAATTATTGTTCATTTTGTACCGTAAACAGGCAATGAATTGGCGCGCTAATATAACCCCTTTCTGGAGTATATTTTAACTGTAGACATGTTCAGGTAGGTTTCCTATTTCATTTAAGAAGTAAATTCATGACTTAAATGGAACACTTCTAAAAAAAGTAAACACAAATCCTTATTTGATAATAAATAAACTTGATTGAAGATAGGAATTTGTTACCTCTTGGATTATAATTAGTCCATTGAGAATGTGAAGCTTTTGGTATAGAATCTATAATGTTTCGATTCCGAACTCACGATCCTCGCGCTTTAAATGTATATAAACGTAGTATAACCTTTGCTTTTTGATTCGTTCACACGCATAATTATTTAACTAAGCTCTAAACAATAGTTTCACATTTACAGTCGTCGCGATTTGAGCTCATTGACGGGCTCATGGGTGCGTATATATTCCAAGGACCGCTGCACATAATCGGGCACTGCGGGCAAGTGCTCGCCCTGAGGCTGATATCCATTCTCATCCGCTGTATAGGTCAGCGTTATGGGCAGACCTTCCAGTGAGACATACTGGACGACACCAACAGCACCAAATTCATTGCCCGCTCCCTTTGTCGTTATGCCATTCGATGTTTGGAACTCGAAATTATAGTGCCCCGCTGCATTTGGAGGCTGATTATGAAAATAGATTGTGTAGGCAGTGCCATCTCGTGACACTGGAGCAGCAGCGGATGGTGGCAGCAGGAACAGCAGTGGGACTAGCAGGAATTGTAGATGTAGCTGCGATTGAGGGAGGTGTGGAGGTGGAGGTGGATGTGTGGGTCAGCAACGGCAACAGACAACAAATCAGAGCGCACAAACCTTGACAAAGAAACGCGTCGAGCACATCGTAACGAGGCCTCCTTCTCTCACTACCTATGTATATACTCGTATGTGTAGATATACTTTTTAAATCGCTGGATTGTTGTATTTTGATTTTACGAGCGACAATAACTGACTGAGTGGCAATCAATTTAAAACCAGCAGCCGTCCGTATTCTGCGTACCGCTGCGTTTGGGCGTTTATTTTTGACTGGGCGAAAAAAAATTTGCAAATGCAAGAGGAAGCTTTTATTTGATTATTTTCAGGTTGAGATCGAGTTATGGCTTGAAGGCAATTAAACGAAAACTGACCTGCCTGAGATGTTTCGAGGCAGTTCTTTGCAGTTGCCTTTGCTCTTTGTTATCAAGCGCAAAAATTCTAAGCACATTCGAGCTCTATTTATTTAGCATAATCGCTTAACATACAGGCGCATAAATTCAACAGCCATAAGCATCCAAATTTTTGAGCTGCAGCATCAAGTTTCGGGCATCTGATTTATGGTATATTTGTGTAAATAAGTCGTCGCCAGTGCGGCCACCAAGCCGTTTAGAGCAACACAATGAAGTTGTTTTGGTTTTTCTGAACTATGTAGGAGTGCCAGGCAGATGTTGCTTGCATTTTTTCGACTCCCTTGATCTTGACGACACTGAGCGTATGCGCACAGTGGTTCAAAGTCGCTGCGCTAATGTGGCTAGCAAGCACATAAATTAATCAAATTGACGTTGGAAAATTTTTTAAAAATCAATTCCCATTCATTGGGGTGCCGAGCTATGCATAAATGAATGCTGCAGTTCAATTAAGCTATAAGTTATGTTTATTTGAAAAACTAAGCATGCATATAACTGCACGGCATGTGACAATAATGAAGCTATTTGCAGTCAATCCGATTGATTATCAGATCAAAGATAACCTCGAAGATCTGCTGACATCTGCGTAAGAATATATTTTCAGGCATTTGTAAGTAAATTGTTCACACACAATTTTACACGAAAAATAACATTGGATTGCATTAACCTTTAAAACAACACGTAGCTGCTAAATATAGATTTTATCTAGATATATGCAGTTTACAAGAAATGCTTGAACTTTTTGTCAACATATGTACAAGGTTCTGTTTTAATGAAGGGAAATTTTATAAAGTTTAACTAACTAGAAAAAAAATAAAGAAAACTAAAGAGATATTTTAAGATGGCTTGAATTACACATACTTTAAGGACTCGGCTTTAAATATAAGACATCCGAAGCTGAAACTCAGACTGCACAAAGATTCGCTAATAAAAAGTTTTTACATATTTTTTATTTTATTCAATTAAGTAATTTAATTTTTTAAATACATATAACCTTGTCGTGTCATGTTGTCTACAAAAGTCAGTCCATCATTCTTAATATACATTTTATATTGCCAATGATATAATTTTTTTTGCAAAAAGTTGTGCGTTTCTAAAGTTTTATTTTCGTATATCATGGGTTTCGTGTTGAGAAGTGTATTATACCAATGCATTGTGTTTCAGATTCCGCTTCCAGAGAATGCTTTTAAGCGTCAATTGATCAAGCAAAGAAATAAATTTAATGTACTAGTATTGGCCATAAACCATTCAAACATTTACTTCTGTGTTCAATAAAACAGGTTTGAACTATCCTGCAAATACATATAGTACTACATACGCGATTCTTTAAAACCAGCATTAAAGTTGATTTCACACCTTGCCGAACTCACTGTACCATCCACCATCTACGTCTACATACATATCATCAGCTTGTAAGCACAGGCCTAGACCTTGCACGATTTCTCGCCACACACCCATGCATCAGCATCAGCATCGGCTCCGGCATGGGCATCAGCATTAGCATTAGCATCTTAGATGCTTCATTTGCATGGCTTTATATTTTGCCGATCCCGCGCTCTCTCAAGGTGTCAATGCGTGGCAATCAATCTGTTAATCAAACGTTAGACTCTGATGAGTACCGTGAAAAAAAGCATAATTTTATTGCTCTTCGCAATTAAATATTAATTAATAAGGTGGCGAGGCTGCTGACAATGGCACCAGAGAGGGAGTGGAGGCAACCAACTAATAGAAGTTGGCATGAGCAAATTTATCAAAGGTCTGCCAGTTGGGCAGTTACTAATTTTTGATTAAAAAGCCAAACATAAATCTTCAGCGACACTGACATGTGTGAATTGGCTGGAAAAGAAGCAGTAGAAGCAAAAACACTGGCTTTTAGAAAACATTGAGCAATGCTATCCACATGACGATTATGATCATCAGCGACTGATCGCAAAATAGTTTTGCCTTAGAATCTCAATTTCAAACTGAATCGGAATCTAAATTTGTGAAATCCAATGCGAATATAAAACAAGAATAACTCGAACAAAAACAAAATAGTTGAAACCGCATTTTCAAGTTGCCTTCGCCGCCAACTGAACACTATCGACAATAATTATGAATATTCTCTGCTTTCAACAGATACATACTATGCATATTATAAATTTTATCTGGCTAGCCATTGTCTCGACTTGTGTCTTGTACACAATCAGCTGAGTTGGTTGCCAGATTAACAGCTGAGCATGTTCTTATACATAATTAAAACATATGTAAATTGTCAATAAACAATATGTATTTATAGCTTAAGCACTCGAATTAATATGTATTTGCATAATTTGCACGCCTGTTTTTCGTTGACAGCATGCCCGCCCCTGCTGTTGGCCTCTTTGTTCTTAAACAAACAAAAGACTTAGGCAACAAACTTCTTATTTTGTCGCATCTCCAAGCTTGTTGACCAGCGTGAAGAGTTCATTTCGTAGAACGGTCATCGATATCTGTATGTTTTTCTATTAAAAGCAACAGTAGTATTAGTATTTGTTATTGTTGCTGCTCTTGTGTGACGCAACGGTGTAGCCGTTAGTCTTGACGCGGAAATGTTTCCGCCAACAATTTTTTATGGCCATAGCAGTCATAAAACTAACTGGATATTATTAAGTATTGAATATGATTTGATTTTGATCCGATTCTTGTTTTAATTTGTACAAGTATGTTTATGTATGTTGCCAATATAAACAATAAATATACCAACGCAGCACCAATCCACATATTCGAAAATGTCTACATTCTTGGATGAAAAAGTTGAACTGTGCTTGGCTTGGTCTTGAGACAGAGACTGAATTAATTTCTGACACAAACTAAAAGCGTGATTAAACTTTCTTTTAGCTTTCCGTTTCAGTCTAGAGAGCTTGAAATTTGACGCAAAAGAATGCTGGCTCTCGGAAGCTTTCAAAGTTGTTCACTTAACCCATTAAAGGCAATGCATGCGCTTAGCAGCGAAACTTATTCATATTTCCATTTACTCATAGTTGTTTCAATGTAGACTTACTTTAGAATTTTTGTAGCTGTCTAATAAACAATTATCTGTGATAATCATGCTGACAAGCGAATGAAATATGAATTAACATTTTTCTAATAAGGTACGACTAATTAGCGGTCATAATTAGTTGCACTAAGATTAATCACAAATATATTTTCATCATCGCCGAGCAGCATTCGAAATTGTTTACAATGATTTATTGTTAAGCAATAAATATGAATTAGTAAAAATTATATTGCATTTTAATCAAGAAAAAATGAATTAAATTTGATTGCAAAAAAACCCACACCCTAAAAATAAATAAATAAATACTTATTTCTTAAAAGCCAGTGCGAAGTCAATATATTTAGAGGCAGATACAGGGAGTACATATATTTACTAAGCACAAGAAATACAAGTACAACTATATTCCAAAACGTAATAGCCGATATATCTGCAAGCAATTGAGAAAGGGTCCAAGACTATATACATCTTCATATATGACTGCTAATAAGGAATGTTATATATAGTATGTTATATATAGTATGTTATATATGTATAGTATGTAATTAGAACTTGTTAGGTTGTCTGTTCACATTACAGTTTAATTTGTGACTAAACTATTATACATTCTTAGTAGATTGAAAATACAAAATATTATTTTTAGTAACAACTTAACATATGTATGTAGGATAAAGGAAGTCTGCACATGAGCACAGCAGGAGTAACAAAAATAAAGTATTATTGTTAGTATATAATAAAACAAGTATATGATAAAACAAGAATCAAATCAGAATTAAATTAGGCACTTAGGGAGTGTTATTTATATTGATTTATATATTGTATAAATTATTTTACAACATTAATTAAATGTTTAAAAAAGCACTATTTTTCACTATTGGATTATCCAGATCAATAATGAAGACATACTACTATAATTACTCGTAAGGGAGCACACATGTAAATTATTTACACAAAACATAAAGGTTTCTTTAAAAGACATCCAGTTTTATATAGGCAGTAAGAACTGCATTACGAACTGGAGCTGGGAAAACTTAGCAGGAAGCCAATTCAGCAAAATAGGAAATAGGATTTCAAAGACTTATAATGAAGGGGTGTTTCATTATTATTCATTCTAATCAACAGCGAACACATAATAAAAAAGTAAAAAGATATTGCATTCCAAGCAAGAAGAAATGCGTGAAATTAGTAATTTTTTAGGTAATTAATTTTGATTAACGAACATTTAATGAAGCTTCGCCTTAACTTGGACAATTAATGACTATTTGAGTGTAGAAAATATTTAATGATTTGTCACACATCTAAAGCTATTTCAATATTAAATAGCAAAATATTTACAATATATCTGATTCAACTCATTTTGAATGTGCCGCTGATCTACTTTAAACTGGATGGCATTTATGTGAGTTGCTTGTCATAATAATTCAAAGTCAGTCAGCAACAGCTAAACTGTTTGATGAGTTTGTTGGCCAAATGTCCCACGCATATGTTAGTTAGGCGGCGCTATAATGGTGAGAATGTCATTTGTCAAATGTTTATCAACAATGGCCTCTACTGCTGAGCAGATATCGAAAGATACACTACTCGTATTTGTGCAGCAGCAGCCATGATGAGCACATTTTTTATTGGCGTGTCATCAAATGTGCAGCCGATCCGCCCAAACGTACTGATAAATGCCATTCTATGTGCTTATTTATGAACAATCTTCGGTCTATTAGCGCAGATAAACGGAAATGAATGAATGGCCGACTGAGCGTAAGCCAAGCGAACTGTTATCAAATACGAATATGTACATACATATATTGTGTTTGTATATACACAATATTTGGCCAGGCGTTCAGCTTGAATATTAAACTTGAAAGCCAAACACACAACTGCCAATAATAAGTTTGGAGCTGAGAGCAAGCTGAGGCTTGGCAGAGGCACAATACCGTAGCATTTTGGTTATAGGTAGTCGTAGATATTGGTTTTTCGTTTTGTATTTTGTTTTGCGTTGATTTGTTTGGCCGTTTTCCTCATATAAATTAGAAAACGTGCTGTGGCTTCGCCCGCAGTACGGTGGCTAACTTTGAACCCTAAACAACGCGCAGTGATCGGACACTTGAATTATAATCTATGCAACTAACAGAGATAGCCCGAAGATACGATTAACTTTGTGAATTTGTTGTGGTGTGCAAAAACGATATTCGAACTCGAAAAATATGCATAAAATTGTAAGTGGGACACAAACTAGTGGCCTTGTGATAATTTTGCTCTGAAATCGCCTGAAGATGAACCTAACCTTTCGTTCCGTTTATTTTTATTTTGTGGACAGTTTACATGGCTGTTGTGCCTGGCCCTGTTTGGAGGCTTTTTGTGCAGTGCCAGGTTGGTGCGAATTCGTCGCATTCGTCGCCTGGTCGGTGGCAGTGAACGGGATGCCCAAATCACGGATTACCGAGTGTCACCTCTGGACGAGGAAGGTGTCTTTAAATATGCCTTCAAGACCAGCAACGGCATTGATGTGCAGGCCGCAGGCACAGCATTGGAAACCATTGGCATTTTCAAGTATACCTCGCCTGAAGGCATACCCATTGAAACGCGCTATATAGCCGATGAGTTGGGCTTCCATGTTGTGGGCAGACACTTGCCCCAGCCTCCCCCTATTCCGGATTATATTCTGCGTGCTCAGGAATACATACGCACCCATACAGAGGACGGCAAACTAAGGCCGAATGTGCTATAAAAATTCCGAAAGATAAAAACTTCAAGCAGTACAATATGTCTATGAAGAAGGCTGATAAAACTATAGCATGTAGCACTCTACCTATAACCTATAACGTATGTTAGTTGTTGTTAGTTCTCGTAAGTTCAAGTTCACTACACAAATGTCTTTAGTATACAAAAAACCTAGGGCGTTGTCAACCTTGCCTTGCCATATGGCCTATGTATACACTCGTAAAGGAACATAAATCATTGAATTTCATAAACCTATATCAACTTCTGCCTTTTATGTACATAGCATAATTCTTTAAGTTGTCAAACATTAACAAACTACTGCACATATTTGGTGGCAATATGTTAAAACGATTGTTTGGGACAAAAACGCCTGACCAGACTAAAAAAAAAAAATTAAACCAGATTTATTGCTCGCTTGTCAGCCGCCAATTTAGTTGCTTGTTGAGGTCAACTAATGATGACCTAATCATTAGTTTTGGCTCTATCTTTTGCTCATTACATATTTGTATAAATCTTCACGAGAAAATAAATATGCATAAATGTATTTAATATTGGTAAGGTTATCTGTAAGCTAATGCAATCTGCTGCCAACTAATCTTTATATATTTCTCCCCTTAGATTTCGGAACTCAAGTATTGTCTGATGGCACACGATTTGCGGAGAGTTTCAAGATAATCAACTCTTCTTAAAGTATTTACACAACTAGACAATTTTCAACATGCCAAATTAATATTTATTTTCAACTTTCCAAAGCCTTTCTAGAGATATTTTGTAATCAACAGGTATTAACAATAACATCACTTTGATTACACAAATTATAAATACACGAAATTCAAAACTGCATTTAATAAAAGGAATACCTAAGCCCTATATTGATCTCTAAAGCAACGAGAATTATTTCACTTGAAATATAAATCAAGTGTACCCAGCAGTAGTCCCAGAAGTACCCGAAATTAGGCTGTAGAGTACGAAACTTTGTCAAGAGTGGCGTCTTTAGGATTGAAGATTTGTAAAGATGGAATATATTGAATATTTCTATCAATTGTTTGGCGATGAACAATGAAGGCGAGTTTTCTAAAACATGGATCCATTACTTCACACCTTCGACAAAAATTAAAAGACACTTCCATATGCAGGCAAGGTCGTGGCAACATTTTTTGGGGATGCCGTGAGTTAATTTTGTTTAAGCAATAATCATCAATAATCAGGATAGCGATAAAGAAATTGTTATTTCATTCACAAATCCGTATTCAAAATTATTATTTCCTTCCTTCCAAAAATAAAAAATTGTATCGGTAGTTAAGGATTTGCCGGTTTTTAATTTAATTTTCAACAATTTTAGATATCATAAAGATATCAATTTCCATTAGCAAGTCTTCACTAAAATGGTTTGAACATGTTGAACAATATTTGTATGAGCTATAAATATACTTTTAGACAGTCTAGACTAAATTTAGCCCAATATATTCTAAAAGCATTATTGCAAATAATCTATTCAACAGGTTTCTCATCAAGAAATAATCCATAAATAAATAGCTGCAATAATAAATCGAATAATTAAACTGGATAGTGAACCAAAGAACCGTTTTCGCATGAAATTTGAATAAAGTTTATATGTAATTATTTGGTAGAAAGCATATTAAAGCGTTTAGAAACTCTTTAACAAATATCGACACTACTCGTATACTAGCCACTTCTAGAGAGATTTTTATAAAAGTTGTGCGTCGGCTAAAAATCTCTACAATTTAAAGAAAATAGACCCAAAAATGTGCAACCACACTATAATATTTATATACTCGTATGTTTAATTTTGCAAATTCCAAATAAAATGTTGTTTTTAGAATGCGGCAATTAATAAATCAAAGAATTAGTATACGTATTGATCTCCAAAATAATGAAAATTTTTAGAAGCATTATAAAAAAGTATCCACATGGCATTGCCTATATTTAAATTGATTTATAATTGATTTCATCCTACAGCAATGGATTAATAATCGTAAGGAATATTTTCTTTCGTGCTATTCTTTTATTTACGATATGTCCTGGGCTGCAAATTGTTCATGAGAACTTTTGACTTCGACGATATCCTGCTTCTCCGTTTTGTTTGAACCCAGAAGACCTACCAGTACTTTGGAACAAACTCAATTGTGGGATCCCCCGTTGAGCAAGGCAGGACCACATGGAGTATTTTAAGAAGGATTTTGGTATTCATTGCTTTAAATACATTATTTTCAGATTTATATTTGCTTAGAAGATGACATAAGTGAAGGTACTTTTAATTTAAAGTCCATCGGAGTTTCAGAGAATTTTGCCACATGCTACCATACAAGTACTATGAAGTGCCATTACATTCCAATAAACTGCAAACTTATATTCATTCATTATATTCACTTTCCGACTCGCACTTGAGATTTAGAATTCTAAGGTTAATTTATTCGCAATATTTAGTGGGTGAAGCCATTTCGTTTGGCTCATGGAATTCAAAGACTCTACTCCTCAATTGATAGACAGAATACTTGCTGCGTTTGCCGCACAATTAACGACTTTTATTAACGTAAGGTAATGTGTAAACTTAAACTAAGACTGACGAGTATATGTCTCTATATAACAACGACACGATCACATCCCAAGTGTGTGGTGGGTGGTGGTGTGGGGTCAACTTATTGCTGGTCCTTCTGTGCGGGCGGATGTGTGCGAATGTATTCGAGGGCGCGGAGTACATAGGCCGGCACTGGTGGAGGTTTGGGCAGGTGATCGCCCACTGGATGGTAGCCCTCCTCGTCGGCAGTGTAGCTCAGAGAGATTTGTTCACCTTCGGGCGAGACATAGCTGAGGGCGCCACGCACACCCGCAGGATTGCCGGCCTCCTGGTACTGAATGCCATTGCTGGTCTCGTAGGCGAACTGATAGTTACCTTCCGCATCGGAGGCCTCGTTCTGGAAGCTGCGTATCTGTGCGTCCTTGTTGATGTTGTCGGCACAGACGAAGCTGACAAGGGCGATGTAAAGCAGCTGGGTGTGAAATGAAGAGGAACCGGTATAGAGGTCAGACATACAGACACGACTATATCGAGCAATTCGTGGGTCTACTTACATATTTGAACATTTTGTCGCTGTAAGTACTTGAAATTGCGAGCTGCTGCTGTTGAAAGGATGCTGATTGGATTGCAACTGTTTGCTGAGGCCACCACAAGTGCGGCTTTTATATGAAGCCCTTCCCGGTTATTGCGGCTCTTGGAAACGAGTTTGTGGTGCCAGAGCTACTCACCAAGGGACAGAAATAATTGCCAAAAAACAATAATGGCATTATCATATTGAAATCAAGAAAAATAAAACTATATAATCGAAAAGAGCAAATTAAAAAGCATGAGTCATGTGCCAACCATTTATTTTTATTTTATGCTTTGTAGTTGTAGTACGAGTGGTTGCTGATATTTTGCATTAACCTTTTGCCCACTGCAAATTTTAAACAAAATACAATATTAAATCGTATTATCTATAGCATACGCTACAGGCGTTGAGTAAAAATAAAACAAAATCAAAAAGCAATGCCTTACGCATTGTTTCTAGCTTTCAATTGATCGACATTTAAAAGAGTAGCCCTCGGCCATTTTTAGCTCGTTTTTCGGGTTGATATAAGAGTTCGGGTGCCCCATTACTGGACCCTGTTGTAAACCAGTCGAAGCCAATACATATGCGAGGGAAAAAAACACCCATCCAGCTAATGGAACAGTTAACCGATCACTTATGCTGACGCAGCGCAGCAGACCCCCAAGGTCAGCAAAGCCACAAAATTTGTCACCCGAGGAATCAATCAATTTGCGCCGAGAAGATCTATTGGTTAGGTTGATATCCAATCATGCCCATGTGATATGCCAATGGTGAAGATGCCTTGACAAGCTGTGAAATGAATTAATTGGACCGAGCTGCGTTTGAAGTTGAACGAGTCTCTCGGAATGCGAGTGGCCGCCCACTGATTGGATGCTACATTTTATAGCTCTGAATTCTATTAGCATATCTACTATCGTATGTAGACTGAGACGCGCAGGCCTAAAATCCAAATACATACATAAATAAGGAAATATTTAGACGAGTTATAAAATTATTACACATGCTCTTTTGGAATTTTTATCGATTTTTTATTAGCTACTTCTAAAATTCATTAATTTTCAATTAGCATGAAATTCGTTGTCATCCTAGTGATTGTTCATTTATAGTTTTTGTGTAGAAAGTAAAAGCTATGTGAGGTCGTTTAGAGATTGACTGATGGACTTCGAAATTATTATTTGAATAGTGTTTTTATTCTACTTACTTTCTTATACCAAAATCTTAAATTGATTTAAAAATATTGTCTGAAAATTAGAAGTTGTTATTCTTATACACCTATTTTTTTACCTAACAGAATGCATTTATATTTAAAAAAAAAATTGTTTTTCCCAAAACTAATTTCAGAATCAGTCACATTAATTAACTAATCCTTTCTACCCTAAAACAAAATTGCTTCGTTCGTCCATCCGACAGAGTAAGAGATTAAGAGCTTTTTTTAGAAGTTCCTTCTTCATAGCCAACTGAAATATAGAAGTACAAATTTGCAAATTTTCAGATTACGATAAGATGGAAATATAGGAACTTAGGACATACTCGTATAGCAAGCAGTAGCCCCTCCAATTTCAAATGACTACTAATACTATCGAGTCTTAATAAGCTATCGACTGAAAATTTAAGAAATTTTTGCAAATTTCAATTTCAAAATTTCAAACTATATTTTAAAATAATTCTCTGCCAACATGCTGCATCTTATACTGAGAATAATCCCCTCTTTCCTTATAAAATGGCGCTGAAGTATGTAACCAATAAAGAAAAATGCAACTCTCTTTAATCAAATCAATAAAACTAATCCATATAGTGATCCTACGTTCTTTATTTTCGACCTATCAATCTAGCAGTCACATTAGGCCTTCTATATTATTATGTAACTATAATAATTTTGTTTTCGCAGTTTATTTTAAAAAGTTTTGTTTTATAAGAAATAGATATTATATTATGGGTATGTAACGCTGTTAAATGGAAAATTGAATGCAGTTATATATGTAATTTCTTCTGGAAATTGGTTTCTAACGAATACTGACTTCTTTATCAAAAGAAATTACATTTCTTCTCTTAATATTATTTAATTTTCTTTAACAACTTTACAAAGTATACAAATTCCCCTATAAAATACCTTATGAATCAAAAGTTTTGATAAATGTGTAGAACAATCGTAGCCTATATAATCATGACAGAAGCATAATTTAAAAAAATAATAATAATAAATAATAAAAAAATAATATATATATTATGTACATAAATACATGAAGAATTTTAACATGTTGTTTGCCTGCCTGAACAAGCAACGAAAATCCATGGCAACAACAAACTACAAGTATGTATCTTCATTGCACATAACTAATTCGAGAACTTTGCGATGCAAATTTTGGTGAATGTTGCCCATAGCTGTTCAACAAGTTTGGATGGCCCGCCCATGTCCATAGGCACGGGCAGAGGCACATTTCGGCCACATCAAGATTTATTGACCACTTTATTAGCTGGTGTAAATGGCTGACAACAGTTAAAACTGTGCCGTCCTTAAAACTATGCCTTAACATTACACTTAGACATTCATTTATAGATATGCGCTACAAATTTGTATGCTAATTCAAAACAAACAAAAAATTATAATTTAGAAGACGACATTTTTTGAATTATTTGTTGTTGTTTAGTTCATTAAATAATTGATTTAGCCGCGTGTGCGAGTGAGTGGCAACAGGTTTACGAGCATGAGCGAAATTATATGGCCAACGAAATCGAAACTGAAGCCGATGAAAAATTAATTTCGTTTTAATTTTGGCCAGATTTATGTGAGCCATGTTTGCGCAATCGCCGTGCTCTACGATTATCTATGTGGGCTCGGCTGTCGCTTGTTGTCCGAGATCCAAAGCCGCATCGTAAACATTGAAAGCCACATTAAATGGTGGTTTAATTGCCAGCATCCACTAATGTCACCATTGCTCGTCACAGAGTGAGCCACTCAGGTCTTAAGTGAGTCGGGTGCGTGGCCAACGGCCAAATGCAGCCCCATGGGCTGGGATTATCGCAACATAGTTTTAAACAACATGACGAACCTAGAATACGCTTTTTAAACACCATACTCTCGGGGCAAGTAGAGTATATAGGTATAGATGGCATCAAATAATTTTTTTTTTTTTGAAAATTTAACTTAGAAAATAAAAAATCTTGTTTGTCAGACTAAAATGATTTCTGGTCAACTTTCTATCTCTATTAATTTTAATAAAAAGCTAGCACTTTAATGGATATCTTTAAAGCTGAGCATTTTTAGAGGAACCTGAAATCATTGTAATTAATATAAATTTAATTAATAAAAAAAAAATTAGCTTGATTTAGGGAAGAGTGTTTTTTATAAAATACGAAAATAATGTTAAGGTCGCCTTCTTCTCATCGCTCCATTATCTTCAAGCTATGCACAAAAAACTACAATTTAATCCTATCGGAACTACAAAAAGGAACTCAGACAAAAGTAAGTGCTAGACAATAGTTTCAATTCGTTTAAAATCTGATAATTTAAATGAGATGATGATCGGATGAGAAATGATGATCATAGCTTAACAACTTTGGCAGAAACATGCCAAAGGTACCGAAAGCCAGCTTAAAAGCTCTGAAGCTGCCGCATGTATTTTAGTTTAACTTGTGCTTATAAAGACAAATAAAAAGGTATATATGTATGTATATACACGTATAAGGTATTGACTCCAAATATGCTAAAAAATCAACAAATATTCATAGGAATTGGGAGCTCAGAAAAGACGTTCAGATTATTCTTGTTTGGTTCGTTTCAATTTTCATCCAAATCGGTTACTACTACATACATACGTTCATAAGAGAATCAGTTTTACGCTCTAATTTTAAATGAACAATTTAAGAACTTTTTTAAAATGACCTTTGTTAGACACTATTTTAATATTTTGTAAGTTTCTTTTTGTCGGCTTCAGACCAGGCTTAGCTTAGCAACATTAATAAAACTTTTTATTTCTACAATTTAAAAAAAAAAAAAAAAAATGGTATTGTTGAAGGATATATCAGCAGCAATTAAGAGCCATTCAAGTTTTAAAGTAATGCATGAGAAAAAGGTAAGCAAAATTAGACCTTTTTATTAAGATCATAAGATATTATAGCACTGCATAGCACACATTATTATTGAAAATATGCTTTTTCTATACATTACAAACAACTCGGAAATAGTGGCATACTCTTTTCAAAGACGAGCGTACTAAAAAGCGGTCACAGACACGTTCATCAGCAAGCCCGCCGCCACTTATATTAAGTTCAAATGAATTTGGTTTTAATAATTTTTGTTGGCGCTGAGTTTAATTTAATTTTACGTTATTTGCTTTTTGGTCAAACACATATTAAGTTTGATATTTGGTTTAACGCAACGCCGCAGTTCAGCGCCAATCAGTTGAAGCTAAGCAGATTAGAAACGACGACCGGAGACGCTCTTCAAGCTGCTGGTTCAGCTTCTTCTGCCGCTTCTGCTGCTTCTGCAGACGACGAAGCTGATGTTGACGCCGGCGTTGGCGTTTGCGCAGAAGCAGTAGCAGAAACAGTCGCAGAACGTGTTGGTGTTAATACTTTTTGGCTGGTTTGGCGCAGGTATAAAAGCGTTTGGTTTTCAAGAGCAAATCAACAGTATAAATTAGACAATTTAACGAAGATGTTCAAAATTGTGAGTAGCGAAGGCATTGATGGATATTTACAAGAGTTTTTGTGTGAGAGTGGAAGGATAATTGTGTGAATTCTTTTTACATTGCAGACGCTATGTTTGTTTGCTGCTCTGCTGGCTAGTGTCTGCGCCGATCACATCAATAAGAATGCCGAAATTCTAAACCTAAAAAACGATCCTGCAGATGCGGAAGGCAACTATGCCTATGCTTTCGAGACTAGCAATGGAATACAGAGTCAGGAGGCGGGCAATCCAAACGGAGTCAGTGGAGCCTATAGTTTCGTCACACCCGAGGGCGAAAACATTCAAATTAGCTACATTGCCGATGAGAATGGCTTCCAGCCCCAGGGTGCTGCTCTGCCCACACCACCACCTATTCCAGAATATATTATTCGAGCATTGGAATACATTGCGGCCCATCCTCCACCACCGCAGCGTCGCTAAGCTGCAAGATGCTCCTAAAGTAGTTTAAACTTGTACATAAAATACACGCTCAATAAATAAAAAGTCGCACAAAAATAAATCCAAAACTGCAACTTAAAGTCAAGCCAAAGCGAACGCCTTCACACACTCGTACATTTCAGAATACTTTGCAGATGCTGTTCATATTTGTTGTTGTAGGCGAAGTAGCCAGGAATTGACCCTCTTGACAGGCCATTAATAGCACCTATGACAGCAAAAAGCGAGAAAAAATCGATACCTGCACTTAATTTATGCAGACAACACATATGTGGAAGCTGCAGGGCCAACAGCTCCAATGCTGTTGTTAATGGTGATACGATCGCTTTTTTTTCTTCTCCTCTTAAATATATTCCACAAGCCATTTCAATGTAAATTCGCACACTGACCGCCAAAAACGAGACCCGTAGCGCAAGAAAGAGTCTGAAAGTGATGCAACAGTTTGGAACGCTGCGGTGCGTATATATGGTATGTATCGTTTATAGGTAAATGGATGCCGATCGTACGAAAACCTGTTTGGCTCTTTATGGTTCACTGACGCGGTTATTAACACTTTCGCTGCTCACGTTCTTCCACATCTGTTGGGGTCCAGCGCCTGCGGCCACAGCTGCTGACCGAAAATTTAGGTCAACGTGAACTGATCGCTTTTATGCCCTACTCCTACTAACCAAGGAGAGCATTTAGGCTTGCGGTTTCCGTTTGAAACAAACTTAACATCAGCTGCGAGTAATATTGATCATTACCAGGAAAGACCATCATTTTAAGTTGTTGTTTAAAAAGTCCCCAGAACAGATTTATAGCATAGTCTTATGCCTATTATACAGAAATGAAATGAAAATAACGCTTGTATATACTGTTATTTCTTAAGTTAATTCTATACAAGTAGTACTGAACCTTACCTTCTTTGTCATCTGATCTTGTTTATCTGATAGTAAATGATACATGGGAAAACTGTCTTAATCGTAATAGAACACTTTAGAAAGTTATTCAAATAAATAGTGTTCAATTGTTTTAAAAAACAACATGCTTTGGTCAATTAGAGCCACATCAGACTTAGGTCTTGCTTGAGCTATCGTATAAAGCCATAATTGGGTCGAGGTACGTCTAAACTATAAAACAAACAATAAAGCAATTAATAAATTATCAAGGACTTTTCTAAATGGGAGGTGGGTCTGTTGTCTTACGGTAAAAAAAAAAATATTTCTTCTGGTACCGGCCAATGCTATTTTTCGAGACATATGTATTTGTTACTCTTACTTCATATGGGTCCCATATTAAAGAAATTCTTGCTCTTACATAAAAGCGAATTAGTTATCGGCTAACTATGCCACAAAAAAGCGCTTGCAAGGTTTCTCTCAAGCAAAACAAACTTTCATCTACAAAACAATATTCCTGTTTTTGTTATACAAATTTTTATGTTACGAGTATTCAAAATGCGATCAAAGGCAACGACACAGATAAACACACAATTTGTACACAAATGTGCGAAATTTGACAAGTATGTCATGACGATTAAGTTTTTGCAGTTTATAATGAAACAACGCTTTACTATCAATCTGTTTCAGTTTTACATTTCGTGGCATACATGAATACAAGTAATGCGCCGAGTTTGTGTACAAACATTTAGTCTGTCTGACCGTAGCTTTAAAAAAGTGTGTGCAGTCTTCGAAGTGAGGGAAAAGCAGAAGTCTACCTGTTTCATTGTAACTGGCAGCTTGTACAAGTGCGGCCCATATATTCCGGGACTATTGCATGTGGCGATCAATGATGCAAGGTGAGCTTAGCGAGTACATTGCCATTGCCATTAAAGTCCAACTCGACGGTCGAGCTCTTGCAACAGCGGGCACGTCACACGCATTACTTGTTACACGGCATCCTTGCCTTTGAGTTCGTTACACGCATTTATATTCGAAAAACATATATACAAATTGTTCACATATATTTAAGTTAAGGCAACGATTAAGTAAATAAAATGCTGTATAAAACGATACGCAGAATCGCTTAAGCGCTAATAAATAAAGCCCCATGTAACCATTGTGTGATTATGGGCTTTGAGCTCAGCTCAAAGCTTGCTCTCCTTAGCCTCCTTGGCCTTTTTGCGCGATGCTGCTGCAGCGGCTGGCCCAAAGCGTTGAATGAAATTATTGATAGGCTCTATAATTGTTTCGGGATTGTTCATGTGCAAGTGATGTGTGCCATCAGCCTCAATATACTCGAAGTTGGACTTCTTTAGAAGCAGGTCTAGGACCTCATCATAATACTTTTTATCCTCGAAATAGGATGATTGTTTGCCCTTAATGAACAAGTAGGGGCACTTGATGCGCTGCGCCATTTCCACGCACAGCTCCTGTGATCCAATCGCGTAATTATAGAATTTCAGTCGGCGATCGCGACAGAAGAAGTACTTGTCCGGGTATTTTCCTGACTTTTGTATATTCCGTGCCATAATGTGCTTACAGTGCTCCTTATTGACCGAATGAAAGGTGCCGATGTAGACACGCTCAATGAGCTCGTCGTACGCATAGCTAGGCGGCTCATTCTTGCTCCGATTGCGCTCGTCCTCGCGCAGAAACTCATCCAAGCGTGTTTCCATCGTACGTATAACAGCCGGATATGGGCGTTGATGCGGCTTCAGAGCATCAAGGCCAATGACCATATCAACTTTGTCGGGGAAAACAGCAGCAAAGACAAAGCAAATGATGGACGACATGGAGTGGCCAATTAGCGATACTTTCTCCCACTTGTACTGCTTCATAATCAGGCGTATCACATAGAGATTATCTACAGAATTATAGTAACATCCGTCTGGCAGACGAGACGATAATCCATGCCCAGGTAAATCGACAGATAGAAAGGCCACATCAGGCGGCAGCAAGGGCACCAACAAATCAAAGGTACCTGCATTATCTTGCCAACCATGCAGCCCAAGGATCGGCTGCACATTCTGCGGACCAAACCATTTCCCAGCTATGTGTCCCCAGGGTACGGGTATTGTAATTTCAGCAAACTGTAAATAGCACATAGAAACGGGTTAGACGGGTTGTCTGCCTGAGTGTCGTGAATTCAAAGTCCACTTACGGTACGGGTAGGTGGTTCGCCGGTCAAGTCACCTGCATGACGATAGCGCTGATTGAGATCTATATTTGTGATTTTGCTGGAATCCATGCCGTTGATTTCACCTGTGATCGCTGGTCAAATTGTTAAGAATGAATAAAAATCGAGTTAATTTCAAAGTTTAGCTAGAAATGCTTGTTCTATTCTTTCTTATCGCTATCGTACTAGAGAGATTAGCGCGCTAATCGCGTCACATTTTTTTGATTAGTTCACGAAACTGAGACGAAGCGTGCACAAAAGCAACCGTGAAGTAGCACACGACGAAACAAGACAAAAATAAACAGCAAAACGCGGCAATAATCATAATTTGCATGCATTGCAGGGTGGTAGTCAGTGAAACATTTTGCATTCGCGGCGTTCAAAGGTCAAGGTCGAGCGGCGGTACATTTCATAGTTCTTCTGTCTTCTTATTTTTCACCGGCTTGCAAAAGCCATTACTTACGATTTGGCTTTGTCAATGACGTGTCCAATGTGCGGGCAGGCATTTATGCAAATTTTGCTTTGCACTATTTTTTATGCCGCAGCTATGATAAATGAATGAACAAAATTATTAACTACCACCTAAAACAATGAAAAGCGAACGACAATAAACATGGCAAGCAGTCAGCTGATAAAGTTGTTGAGAGACAGAAAACCTGTGCTCTCAGAGATGGAACTTTGCATGAATTGGAAATCGTGAGATAGAGGTGGAAGGAAAATGAGGCTGAATTATCACCATCTTGATCGTAACCTTTAAATTTATCTATAAAATTAAAAAATTGTAATTAATAGATACCAGGAAAAATAATATTCAAATTACACGTATTCTTATTTTTTATTAATTTTATTCTTGTAAATTAATCTGTTACTTTATATATATCAGAGTTTTAAATTAATTGCGTGACAACTTTATTAGTTAAGAGCGTGTTCTGAAAAATGAATAGGAGTTATCATCACTAATAATTGTGAATATGGTAAAACTGATAAAAAGAAAACAACTTTATAATAACCATGACTGAACATTATGTTGCATTCTATCACCTTTGAATTTGCAAAGATTACTTTTTAATTATACATATCGCTAACATTTAATTAAGTTTCATTTCATTCATCCATTTCATTAATCATTATCTATAAACTAATAAATATTAATCAAGAAATTAGCCGTGACAAAGTCACATATGCGTGACTTTTGCCCATTTGCAATGTTTACTCACCATTCACACATCTCCGTTCCCCCATGACTGATTTAAAATTGTTCAGAATCGCGTAATTCTCCAAAAAATCTGTGTGTAATCCAAGTGAGATTGCGTTGGGGATCAAAGTTCACCACGTGAAACGCCGCATCACCGTTGGCAAGTGAAACTGAGAGCAAAACGTCATTGCGACTGAAGCCGGAAAGCTGTGCACACGTTTGTGGGTCAATTTTGTTATTCAATAGACGCTTTCACCACCACAGCTGAGAAAAATGAGTTTCCAAAAGGGACTGCGTCTGCTGACGCAAATGACAGGCGGTTCAGGGACACAAAATATCCTTAGACATAACAGTAGCAATGGCTCAGCCAGGTCACTAAAAATGATCACAAAACATGTGAGTAATTGGTATTGCAAATCTTGACGTTGACTCACAATCACGATTGTCTTTCTAGTACGATGAGATTACGATACCCGTACCCTGGGGCCATATTGCGGGCAAATGGTATGGTCCCAAGCATGTCCGCCCTATACTGGGAATGCATGGGTGGCAGGATAATGCAGGCACCTTTGATACTCTCGCTCCACTACTGCCCCCGCATCTTTCATTCCTCAGCATCGATTGTCCAGGTCATGGACTGTCGTCCTGGCTGCCTCCGGGCATTATCTACCACTCCATTGACTATGTGCTGCTCATACGTCGCATCATGGAGGAATACAATTGGGATAAGGTCTCTATAATGGGTCACTCGATGAGTTCCATCAACGGTTTCGTGTTCAGCGCGCTATTCCCAGATAAAGTGGACATGTTCATTGGCTTGGATGTGCTAAAGCCGCCCATACGTAGTCCCCGCCACATAGTCACTGGCTTGTCAGAACGTCTGGAGAATGCGCTTAAAGTTGAAAGACGGAATCGTATCGGCACAGAACCACCAGCCTATGAATGGGACCAACTAGTGGAACGTTTACACTTGGGTACGGATAAATCCGTCTCTATGGAGGCATGTAAATTTCTGCTGCAACGCAATGCAAAACCATCCACCCATGAGCCTCATAAGTATTACTTCTCACGCGATAGTCGACTAAAAAACTCACTGTTTTACACATTATCCATCGATGTGCCGTTAGAGATGGCCTCGAGGATTACATGTCCCCACTTATTCATTAAGGCAAAGCAAGCACCCTACTATGAACGCAAAGAGTACTACGACGCGACCTTGGCAGCCCTACGAAAGAACTCGCAGTTTGAATATCACGAAGTCGATGGCACGCATCACGTCCACCTAAATGAGCCCGAAAAGGTCGCGTCAATTATTAACTCCTTTATCAACAAGTGTCGGCCCTTATGAGAACAGGCCCCCTTAGATTTAGATTTGTAAGACTTGTACAAAGTAGCGAGATTTTGATTCTGCTAGCTAGTTAATGCGGGGTCCGTTGGTGGTGCTTCTATAAATGATATTGCCGCGTCATTCAATGCCATTGAATGTTAAAAATCTACGTCTGATATTCAATATCACTTTAAACACATACTCGTATGCACTGTAGTTTACAGATACAAGATTTGAATTCTGACTAATCAATCATCTTGAAACATATGCAAGCCCAATTCAACCAATAGATACTGTTTTCGCAAACGAAACTTTAAGAGGTATATTCACTGGTTTGGTTTTTAGCTAATTTTTAAATTATCATCAAAAACCCAAGATATAAAGATAGATATGTTTAAACGAAATTTTGAGATAATTTCACTGAGGAGATACTCAAAATATAACGCAAATTACTATCTTCTCTCAAAATACGAAGACGTAAAATTTTGTCCCTTTTAATCAAAAGATGTTATTCAGTATTCCTTATCGAAAAAGGAATCCTGACCTGATCTTGTATCTCTGTTGGCCAATAGATTCTATTTAAAATTCTTTGTCATGAACGAAACTATAAGAGGTCTATTAACTTAAGAGATATTAAAGATAGTTTCGCCACAGATATTAATCATGTTACCATTTTACCAGCAATAAACAAAGGTGTAAGCTTTTGTCTGTTTCTATTTAATTTATGTACATTTGATATTGTTCATAACATATTAGTTAGAGCAATTAAATGACAAACATTAAAGTGTTTGATTTGATTTGTTTTTATGGAATTACCGTTGCAACTAAAACTAGCCAATAACTACTAAGCACATACATATGTATACATAAATGTGTATATATTTATAAATAAGATTTGTTTGTTTCGCTGTTGATGATTTTATAAGAACAATTGGAAAACCACATTTGGGACTATTATCGAGATTATGAACATAAGTTTCTAGATAAAATTGTGCGTTGCTTACAAAATAAAATCCAACAAAACAATTCAATAAAATGTTACAATGTTACGAAACGCAGCCGAAAATTCTAAATTTATTGATGTTAAGGGTTCGAATTAATTATTTGAAAAGCTTTGGATGCCGATTGTTAAAATAATTTTATGTGAAGATATATAGACTTTTACGAAACAATTCTACATTCTCTGATTTGGAAAAATAGTCGTTTTTTGCGCGTTATCTACAAACAAGATTTAGTTGAAGGATTTTAGAATTTTTACTCATTTGATTCGTTTTGATTCTTTTTACATATATTAGGGAAATTAAGTCTGTCGATACATAAATTTGTTCTAGTACATTTGGAAATAAACTTAAGGACTGTGAAGTTAATAGTAAACTATATTTAAATTTCGGCAGACCTATGGATTTATTTTTGAAATATAGTTTTACAAGCTTAGAGTCGTTAAAATAAATGCCATATTTATGCCATCTATCCCATAATTTATATTAAAATAAAGGCTAAGTAATTAATATCCGCATACCTGATTCATGAGTGCACAGCACAATTTTATGGGTTAAAAGCATAAAGACAGCACTTACTTTAGTTAGTTAAGAAATATTTATTTGGTTTGCACAGATTGAACAAATGAAGTCTAAAATCTAAGATGATGGTTTCAGTTTTACATAATTTACTTGTCGGTAGCCCACACGCCTTTTCTTGCAGAAATCAGTCAACAATTCCAGCACTGGAAAGCACAGCTAACCCTAAGAGGTCTTCAAACTTAAAACAATGCGTTGTTGTTAACAATTTGTAACGCAAATATCTACAACAGGATTTGTAGCAGTGTTGTTTTTTTTCCATTTTCTTCTTGGATACTTTTCTAGCTTTAAATATGCATTGTAAATAAGTATGCTTCTGTTTGTATGTATGTACGTGTACATCAAGCGTAGTCAACAATTGCTTAAATATTGCAGTAAATGGAGTTGTGTGTGTTATTCATCAGATTCAAACTGTTATAAAAAAATATATAATTTATATATGTTAAATAAATATCTGTATATTTATATATGTTATACTACGGTCTGTGGATTGCGCGCGTTAGGTAGAAAATAATGCTTAAGTAATAAATTTTGCTGCTGCTTAACGCACGCCTCACTGATCTCTAAACATTGTAATAAAACAACAACTAGAAACTACGCTAAAAATAAATACATACATGTATAGGTAGATAGGTACATAATAAATAAGTTAGTTTTTAAAAAAATGCTTTGAAACATTTTATATGAATTTGTTTGGGTTGAGGGGAATTAAAAATGTATATACATCTGAGTTTCTTGTTTACTTTTTAGGAGGCAACCCGTGCCACTTTTAAGCCACCGGGGAAGAGTCGCCTTTCATGTCACGCTCACGAAAAAAGCCACGTTCCGTCTTGCACTCCCGTATAGTCACTGTCTCGAGATTGACGGTCACATCGGTGATGACCACTCGATTGGATATGTTGCACTTAGCGGGCAACCAGAAACGTGGTGGCAAAGCTCGCGGCGAGAGCGGCGTAAGCTGTTGTTTTTGTGCCAGAGAAGCGACACTGCCGCCCAATTTTGGTATGTTGTTATTCTCCGATGGTGATGAAGCTGATTGTGGCACGGGCTCATCATCCTCCTCTTCGGTGCAAGGTGTTGATTCAGCACCATCGTTCTCCTTCAACGTCGCTACCAAGAGCTCTGCCTTAAGTGGTGTGGATGACTCCGTCTGCTTTTGTTGTTGTTCGGCTGGATGTTGTGCTTGTTGTTTGGTTGCAGGCACTGGTCCATCGGGTGAGGTCTTGATGGTCACACCAATTTTGCCCTCTTTTAGCACTTCCGCCTTTCGTTTAGTGCCAATTAGTGGCTGATCCTCCGAGCTCGAAGAGTTTGTGTCTGCTTCCGGCACAAATGAAGTGTGCGTGAAGCTGCTGTTTGAGGATGAGCTGTGCTCCGTACGCTGTCGCTTCGACTCGTGATGATGTGGGTGGGGCGACTCGGAGCGACGGCTGCTGGTACGTTCGGACTTTATGCTTTGGTTGTTGTGGTGGTGGTGGTGATGATGGTGGTGATGATGATGCTTTTTATCCTTATCTTTCTTCTCGCTTTCTTGAGCGGAGTTGGCTGCCACGTTTGAGGTTGTTGCCTGATTGGTGTCCACATCATCTCCAGTAAATGTGTATTCATCCTCTTCGGATTCGGGCTCTGGATCAGGCTCTTTTTCCTTCTTCTTGTTGCCACGTTTAGAGGGCGTGCCTGAAGATTTGTTGCTTTGCTCATAGATGTCGATAAGGCGTCGATCCAGAATGTTTACTTCTGGCTCCCATGTGTTGTACCGTTGGTTCCAGCCCTTCCACTTGACACGGTACTCCACAACGCCCTGTAAGATCATTGAACAGGAATGTTCTTTGTTTTTATCATTGTTTTCTTTGAGGCGCCAGCTGCAGAGCACTTCATTCAAAAATTGGCGCGTACTACAGCCACACACAAAACTAATTGATTTTTCATCGAGGCGCACACAATAACAAAAACAACACATGCGAACGCAACGTGCAAATGGTGGTTGTTGCAACGGCCGTAGCAGAAGCAGCTGCCAGCAGATGGTCTCTGCTCAAATTTCGAAGGACATGTGACCTTGTAATTTTTGTGCTGCGCATTTACGCGTGTCGTTTTGTATGTTTTAGTTAGTATGGCCAGGATTTGGTTTAACTTTTACATACCTTTCTAACGCGCTTCTGTATGATTTTTTCGGCAGCATAGACCCGATCGTCCGAGCTGCCCATTGTGCCGTCCACTTTACCAATTTTTGGGCTGTTTTTGAGCTACTTAGTATAAACACTTGCTGCACGCTTTAAGTATTCTCTGCGTGCCGTTTTTACACACACTTCTCACCTAACGCGTGTGTTTTTGTATGTTGGTAAATAAATATACGCTGCCTGCTCCTGACGCACAGGAAATAGAACGCAAAATGCTTCGTTGAAAAAGAGAGAGAAGCAGCAGCGGACAGAGAGCAGCTCGTGCGGCTTTCGGGAAGTTTCCACGCGTCGCTAGTGGATTGCGTTTCTTTTATCCAATGAGCACTGAAAACAGTTCTTCTTTTTTTGATTTTTGTTCAAAACCACACAATAAAATGTAATATTAATTCACTATTTATTAAAATTCACAAAAATAATAGGAGTGCAAATGCAGAGCTGTATAATAAGTGTCGGTGAATTCTGCGATATCGATAAGATAATGCCGATACACTTCGTTGCAGTGCTGCCATATTTTTTGAAAGAAGTCACGTGCTGCCATATAGTAAGATGCTGATTTGAATTTCGATGTACGTTGGCGCTTACCAGAGGACTAATAAACGTGAGCTACTAGAGAATTTTATATGAGTACTATATACAATAGTTTAAACAACTACTACTGCTTCTTAATATATTGACTGAATTTGGACTCCGCAAATACAAATTTAGCCGAATTTTGAACACGATGTGCTGGACATGCGCAGTTTACGCCCGGCTCTCCGAATTTCGGCGCTCTTGTGCAATTCTCTTTCACTTTTTTTTTTGCACGCAGCCACTTAAACTGTCAATGAATTTCCGTACTTCAGTACTAAAGCAGCAATAGCTAAATAGACCACGCCATTCCATACACAAAAAATCACTAGAAAGTAATCAAAATTGCATACATATGTGTATGTGTGTGATGAAATTGAAAATAATGTGATAAAGCCACGTTCAAAGGCGCCGCACATATAACAAAGCCCAAAAGAGGCGTTCAAAGGGTGTGGAAAATAATAGTGTCCAAAACTAATAATAGTCAAAAGAAAAAAGAAACGAAAATGTGAAATCAAATATTGTGAAACCTACAGACAGCAACGCCACCGCTGACACACACAATCACACACACACATACACAATGACCCACAAAGGATATCGAGCTGTGGGAGCCTATCGTAAAACTCCGGTTTGTTGTCGTCGCCGTCACTTCTGGCCGTTGCCGTTGTCAAATGGGCTTTTGTTGGTATAGATTGCGGGTCGATGAATGTATGCTGGCTGTTGGCACAACAACACACAGGATGCGAGTGTGTCATTCCTGCTATTGCTGCTCTTGCTGGTGATGCTGATGCCACTGCCACTGCCACAGTTGGGCGCGTGTGACAGATAACAAGCAGAAATGAAGACGTCAGCGTCGACTACACCACAATCACCTCCGCCAAAAACAACAACAACAACAGCTCTAACATCACCAACAACAATACCAAAAACAACAACAACAACAACGGATGCAGTCAAGCGGCGTTTCTTCTTCTCATGCCGTCAATGTTGCTGCTATTGGCGGGGGGCGCTCTGAGCATGCCGCTAATTAGTACGTGTCGTAGTTGTAGCGCGACGTTCGTTATATATGTATGTATGTATATATGCTGTGATACCAAAAACAACACCAAGAACAAGAACAACAACTACGACCAAAAATTAACACAAACGCAATATTTTCGCTGACGCAAATGCCAAGGAGCAAAATTGTGACAAAAACAGTCGCCGCATAAGGACTTGAAAAATACCAAAACAAGAAGCTTTAAGTAAAAAAAAACAAAAGAAAAACACCAAGCAAGGATTAAAATATAAATTCCCTTATTAAAGACTACATGTTAAAAATTACATAAATAATTAATTAATTTACTTAACAAGCAAAAAACCACGGCACCAATTAGCGCATAAAATAAATAAGTATAAACATAAATATGTAAGCTTTAGCTAGTTAATTATATATAAAAAACAAATTACATAGTGGCTTTAAAACAAAACACCAAGCAACAACACCAAAAATAAAAACAAAACAACAAAGCAAATAGTTCAATTCCAAAGCTAAATCGCAAACTAACGAATATATGTTTAGGGAATTTTTTAAATAACAAGCTAAAGAATATTAGTAAATTATTAAAGCTTAGTAGAAACATAAATAATAAGCCCCAAGGAACCCGCAACCGTAACCAGAATTCATTCAGAAAACGTGCCATTAAAACCGGGCAGAGCGCACACGCCGTTGACAGACAACGTCAAAAATTAAATTGTAAGTGTAAAAGCAAGTCTCAGGCTATTGTGAAAGAGAGAGAGAGAGAGAGAGTGTGTGTGTGTGTGAGAGAGAGAGTGAGTGAGTGAGGCGGAGGGATGCGAGGGACAGCTGACGAAGAAAAGCTCAGGCTTAAAAGCTCAGTTCAGACTTGAACCAATTTCAGCATATATCCTGTGTATTCACCCCATAATAAACTTAAACACTCACCAACATATTTAAATCGAGATGCAAATAAAGCTAATCAGAGGTGCTTCGAATTACGACAACATTTTAGACAGTGGGAGCGAACGTTAGTTTATATCTTAAACATATTTGTTTATAGTCAATTACTTATATGCATTTAAATATTTTCATAATTTAACAAGGCTTTATTTAAAATATTTTTCTTTATAGAATAATAGTTTTCGTTGCAATAATATTGTTTTTCAAAGTCATATCAGGTTTTTGGATTGTTATTACGTCTAAGATCTTCATTAGGTTTATTTCTGAAGAAAGGTCGGAATAATTGGATATTTGAAAAGCGTAGAACAGATAAATAATTAACATTTTCGTTGTATGGCATTTTTAGGACTTAAAATAAGAATTTAAAATAAGATTCGATTTTTGGTTGGTTTGTTAAGCTTTAGATATTAGATCTAGCATTTAATAAAATCAAGTTTAACCTTTTTTGCTGGCATTTATCTATTATTGCAGCAGAGATGCAGGCAACCACGGCAGCGAGTCATCCGGACGATGCAAGCAGCATGAGTGACGATGTTTTCGAGGATGTGGAGACCACACAAGCACGTATCGATGAATTGCGGAGACGACCATTCGGCGATGGCTGTTACAATCCACCTGCCGCTCCGGCTCCCTTGAGCACCACACATCATCACCATCATCATCATCAAAGCCAGCAAAGTTTGACCGCCAGTCATCATTACCACGATGACTCGATTATGGCGCCCGTTCAAAGGACCGCCTCGCCCAGTGGCTATCCTGGCTATAGGCCGTCGCGTGAAGCGTTGCAAATGTACGCCTACGGCAATACAGACTATGGCCTGGCGGACGATGACTACGATGACGGCTGGCGTTCGTACCGGTACGATGAGGTGGACATGCATCAGTCTCACTTGCAACCCGCCCATTTGCAACCCTTCGACGATACGGTCAACCATAAGACGATATTGCTCGGAGATTCAGGCGTCGGCAAAACATCGTTCCTGGTCAAATACAATACGGGCGAGTTTCGACTTGGATCCTTTTCGGCCACTGTGGGCATTGCACTGACGGTGAGTCAAAATGCTATTGGCTCCCTTAACTTCTCCCGAATTCCCTCGAGTGCGGCGACGGTCGTCCGTGGGTGTAGAATTTAAATGGCTGCCGGGCATTGAAGCATTGTGCACGTTTTGGCATGTTGTGAATCCTCCGCCTCCATGGCCCATGTTGTTTACGCATGTCCCTGAGTCTATAGCTTTAAACACGTGCAAATGACCCTCACTTACACATTTACCAACATAAAAGAACAATTGTAATTTAAAGTGAACAACATCTTAATTTTTTTTAATATATATGCAGTATAAAAGTCTTTTAAATGAAAACCCGAAAGATCCGGTTTTATACTTTCAGTTCTAGTGGAATACACATTATTACTTTAATTTTGTAAGTTTGGTGCTTTTCATTTTAATTAAAATCTACAAGAGCGTTCGAACTCATTAGAAAGCAAAATGATGCTTTAAGTGTTTATAATTCTACTACTGATACGTCGTGTTCCCCTAAAAAACGATGAACCTCAGACTCCATCTTCTTATTTCTAGTAAATATTTTTACTGGTTTTGTCAACCATCTTCACATCTAATTTTCATTCAACAAAACAAACAACAAGGCGACAATGAAATGGAATGGACAATGTACTTAAAAAGAATTTAATTTATTAGAATTTAAAAGTGATACACATTTGCTCGCCAAGGATATGCCATAGTCTGTGCTTAGCACTATTTGTTTTTATTGCATTCTGTCTATATGTATATTTGCAAAGCAATGTTGCTTTATCGTTATTACCAACAGCCTAACAGCAGCTGTGTGTTGTCGCCACAGATACATTTATAGTATATATAAATATGTATCTACCTAGCCACTCACCTATCAATGTGTGTGTATGTGTGTGGTGCTTAAATGCGCTGCCAAAATTTCATGTACAGTTAGCAATTAGGCGCGCCTCGCATTTATTTTTAGCTCACAAATCTCTACGGGCATTGATTTGGTGCGTGGTTATGTTTTATTTTGTTTTGGTTGCTGGTTTTATTGTTGTTTTACCACGAGACGCCATAAAAATAAACGCTAGCAGGCTGTCAAGCCGTGCTGCGGCTTTGATTACCGCGTGAGAGCCCAGCACGGTGACGAGGGGACGTTGGTTGCTGTTGACATTTTTATGACACAATGTCGCGTTGCGCTCGTAAATGTCATGCAAAGCACACGCGCCAACTTTTTCGACTACTCGTACTTGGCGCAACCTGTTGCTGCTTTTCACTTTCACTGCCAACACACACACAGACACATACCGCGAGCAAAGCACACGCAATGGGGCAAGTTAAATAGCTAACCGCCCCCTCAGGGCCATATTTAGTACAAAAGGCACACGAAACAACGGCCGCCAGCAGCAGCAGCAGCAACAGCCACAAGAACAGCAACAACAACGAGGCTGGCATAAATACACACATTACCAAGGCAATGAAGTTCAAGTGCAACAGTTTTATTTGCCCTGCGGCATTGCAAAACAGCACACCAATACATTTCGCTCACTCACACACACACACACACGCGCACACGCACGCACACAAGCATCCACTCTCAGCAGCTCGTGCTCAGCAATCCTCCCCACATCAGTACAGCGCCCGCTCTGCTCGCAACCAATCATGCTTCTCTAGGCCATGGCTGCTGCTCTCAACAGTAAGCCTTGCTTAAATGGCACGAGTGCTTCGGCCAGCATGTCCTTCATAATGGTGACATAAGGCTTTCCTTTGGTTTTCACGGCGCTTTCTCTTACAGCCATAAAATTAGCTACAAATTGTAGAATCTCTGTCCCAAATTGTTTACTAAGCAAGGGTACACTTGTCATTTAAAACCACATTAAAACAACACCCAAGCTTAAGTAAAAATGTCCTTTAATTCACTACACTAGTTTCGTATATATATATATCCAATATATCCAAGTAAATATTGGAAATCATATATTAGAATACAATGTAGGACTAATAAAAGAGAGTTTTTAATTTTTAGGTTAAGTTTTTAATATAATTCTTGAGATCTACGTTTATTCTTTTTGCATGTAACACACTCTGAAAAACACCTTGGATAAAGGATGTAGGATGTCTTTTAAACGAAATGTGAAACACGGCTGAATATAATACTATATATTCAATATTTTTCTTTTACGGGGGATTACACATTCCCTAAAAGTTGTTTAACTAATAAGAGATGGTGTTCTGGTGACGAAGCCACCATATAGAATATATATTGTTTTCATTTCATTTATTTAATATGCTTATCAAGTAATTGTAGCTGGTCATGAAATCTTTATCATTCGCTTTTGATTCACTTTATTATAATTGCACAAGCGCCTGTTAACGCATTAAATAGTAATAGAGAAAAGAATATTGTATTATGGTTCTCGTTTGTGTATCTTTCTTCCCTTGTTTTCAGTTGAGTTCTGGTTTTGTGCCAGCTGAAAAAACAAAAAGCAACATTCATTTAAATATATATTTGAATATAATATTTTAAATGCCTTCAATCCTTCTGTTCTAGTTAACAAATAATTATTTCAATTGTAGAGGTTATGACGCATTCAATTTAAAACCTGTTGAATGAGGAGTTAAAAAAAGTAAAGTCCTAAGGAATTGCTAGCGGTTTAGTTACTGGTAACAGAAAAAATACCTTTTTTGAATATAACCAGAAACATAATTATGCGTGGCTCAACTTTCTTAATTTATGACAAAAAAAGGACTTTTAAAAATGAATGAAGTTTTGAAGCAAATTAAAGCAACAAAACTTGCCGAAATTTTTCATTTACTATAGTCAGACTCCAGAGTGTGTATTGAAAACCCAAAACCGAAGCTGGTCGAATATGCTCGGCTCACTGCTGAAGGCTCTTTGTTGTTGTTGTTGATGCTGCTGCTCACCATTTAGGGTCTATCAGATAGCTGGCTGGATGGCTCACTGGCTTGATGCTGCTGCTGGCTTTCGCTTTCAGTTTAGTTTTGTGCGTTGTTGCTGGCGTTTCGTGTGTACGGCAAATCGCATTTTCAAAAATCCAAACAACAACAAATTTAAAGACACCCATAACATAGAGAAAAGTGTCGTTTGTGCACAGTTTGAAATACTTTCGTTTTCCATTTTGCGGCAACTGTCGACTTCTACGCTGACGTCGCTGCGAACGCGCAAGTGAAAGCTGTAAAGCGTTGCCTTTGAAGTTTATTCTTATTGATATTATTATTATTTTTTCACGATATATTCTCGATATTTTTTTTTTTAACGAACTCATTGGATATTGCTGGTTGCACTCTTTTTGCGTGCAGTTTTCAATTTGTGGTATGCGCTTGGAGTAGATTGGATTAGCGTTTTTCGTAGCCTACTTTTGAGCGCGCGAGCTTGCCCGCAACAAGTGACAGGAGTTTTTGTTATTTTTGTGGCAAACGTGCGGGTGGTATGTGTGCGTACATTTGTGTGCCTGTGTGCGTGAGCGTTTAAAAATAAAATAATTATATTTATGACAACATTGATTTTTGTCTGGCACAATTTTAAGTGAGTTATTGCGGCCATCTCTTCACATTTGTTTCCTTCCATTGTTTTTGAGTATATCACGAAAGTTTGACAAAATTGTGGGGCAGCTGCAAAGCTTGGCTAATAGTTCGTAAAGGGGCCACTTTAATGCCAATTATGTAGAGTAAGTCAACTTAAGTTAAGCTAATTATGAAGTTTTTTCTTCCACTCTTCGCTTCAGCGGCAGCGCATTATTAAAAACAATCTCGCAATTTAATGCGCTTGTGTGCTTTGGCCTTTGTTTTTATTTTTGTTGTGTTCACAACATAAATGCGTCTCAAACAAATTGCAGTGTTAATATGCGCATTAATTAAGAGCATGCTCTAGACATTGAAGGTCAACTGAAGCGTGAGTTATGGGTGTATGTGAATGCTTCTTTTTGTGTGTGTGTGTGCGTTTATGTTAACGCGTTTTTAATGCGTAAACATAATCGTAATCTGCTGGATGGCTTGAAATTAAAGCTATTTTCAAGCACAAATTGATTGTAATTTGATTTTCGCAAACAAATGCTTCTAATTCTGAAGAAAAAATTCATTTGTGGCTGAGACTTTTAAGATGAAAAATGTGCCTCTATTCTCTTTACTATTATAGCTATTACATTCAAATTGAATTGTATTCATCTTCCTTCTGGAATTGTGTTGTGTTTTCGAGCCTAAATCAATTTACGAATAATTTAAGAATATTTGAACATATTTGTAATTCTAAGTAATTCAACAAAAAGCCTACATAATACTTATAATTTAATATAATACAATATTTGTTTAAAAAATGTATGTCTTGTCGACAATTCCACTGCAGACATTGTTATTAATTGTATGATTCAACCAAATCGATGCGCTAAAACGTAAGATATAGAAACTTCATTTGGCCATTAAAAAACAACTCTAATAGAAAAAGGCTTTTAAATTGTTCATAGCTTATTGGAAATTCAATTTATTTATCCGTTTATATCTGAGTTGCTTTATTAATATACTTAATTTATTTTCTGAATAAGGGGAGCGATTGCAATATTTTTGAAGTAATAACTTTTAAACTATACTACTAGACCTATTCTCTCCCTCTGAACGTTTATCACTCCATGAATTGCTCACACATGAACTCTAGTCAGATCACCATCATCTTATATATATCTTATCAAAACTAAATTGCAATTGCAAGTTAATGCTTTAAATTGGTAAAAGGAAATCCCCATTTTTAAGGCGGCTTTGAAATTGTACCTTCAATTAATGAAAATATTCCCAAAAAGTATAAAAGTACCTAAAGAGTAGAGAAGAGAGAATACTAGTTTAGTACACAGTATCAGAAGGTAGCATGACAGACCCCACAAAGTAATTATATTCTTGATCAGAAAGACAATATAAGTCAAGTCCGGTACTCCGTTTGTAGCTAAAATATCCAAATATTATATTAATATTCTCCAAGGTCTGAGAAAGGATTCGCTCGACGGAACCATTCCATTCTACAATTATTATTT